TATGTACCGTCTATTGTCTAAATTACATGACGTGTTAAGGAAATGCTCTCTCACGGATTTCGTATTTCGTCATATCTTAAAAGTTATGAAACCAAGAATCACGTAACAAACTTATTCACTATTTGGATAAATTCGACCACTTTAAATATATTCAAAAAATAAATTGTTAAAGCTTAATATCCTACCTTAAAGTCAAATATAATTTTTACTGAACTAATTGTTGTTATAGTCGAATTCAAACTGAATTGATTCCCGGGGTATGTCATAGTCGAATGAAATTGCTGCTTAAATAATAAATCCCAAAGTCGCCCTTACTTATACCGTTACCACAGGCTATTAACCCAATTATCCGGTAGCACGGAGCCACTTGCAACTCTCAAGAGCCACTTAAGCATTATGTGCAATAAAAAAGTATATGTATAAAAAAAACCGTGGAGAACACACACACGCACATAGACAAATATAAATACACACTCCAGATCAAAGCAGTCAAAGAAGTCTGATGGAATGGGCGCTGTTTGTATTAGCCAAAGTGTTTTATAAGTATTATTAGTGAATATATATGAATAACACATTCAATTCATAAATCACAGACGGTCTTTTCGGCTATCAGCCACCTACAGGTGTGGTAATTAGCACCCGTGGCTCGTGCAGCCGTTTTATTGCCACTAAAACGGAGGTGCTATTGTAGTTCTTTATTATTGTCTAATTGGGGTAATTAAACTTGTACGTATCCAAATTTTGCGAATGAGCAACAGCAGCAACAAAAACCACATTTTGATTGACGCAGCTAGACGATTGTATGAAAAGAAGTCTATCAGGCCCAATTGGCGCTTATTTGTTTACAATCAATGCACGCGAAAGATCTTAATTGGATTTTGATATGAGAGATGCCGGCCAAACAGCCGCAAATCCGAACGCCCACCAATTTCCATATTTTCTTGGCATTTACACGGCTGCAAAATGTATTTTTAGAATGTGGTCTAACATTGAAAATACACATGCGCATACATATATACATATGTATGTACATCAGTGTGTGTCTGCGTTTGCCATCTAATTTTGTCCATAGTTCTGCTGCAACAACAACAAAAACAATGCACAGTCACAGCTGCTTGTGTGGCATATGTGGCATACGTATGCTTATTGCTTTTGATCGTACTTATGTATAAACAAGGTAGTTGTTGTTTTGTTGTGGTTGTTCTGATTCACCTGAGATAATGGAAAAAAAAATCCACAACAGGAAAAAACAAACATTTCTATTGGCATAGAACTTTTTTATGAGTTGATGCCACAGGCCACAATAGAAAGTTTTCAAATTATTATATATGAATACACATAAGCTCATAAAATAAATGTATGTGTGTCTGCTCATGTTTATTTATTTACTTTATGTAGGCTATAGACTATATATAATTTGAAAAAGATTTGAAAATAATTAAAATAAATTTCAAAAATTAAAAATTTAATTAAAAGACATAAAGTAAACAACGGAATAGTTAAAAGAAAATATAAAATATCACTAAAATAAAACTATCTGAGGGTATTAAAATGTGAAATTGTTCAGAAAAAATTGCTAGGATTGGGAAAATCTAGAAAAAACAGAAACTGACGAAAAGTTCTTAAAGGTAATACTCCAGATAGTAATGTAATGCTTAGAGAGAAAGAGAGAGAGAGAGAGAGAGAGAGAGAGAAATATAAATATAATACCAAATAAAAATAATTCAATCTGAGCAAATGATTCAGAAATAATTGCAATGGTTGGTAAAATATAGATAAAAATAATGTAATTATATACAAAATAATGTACGCTTAAGGAGAGAGACAGAAAGAGAGAGAGAGAGAGAGAGATAAACAAGACTGGGGTAGATATAAAAAAATTAAATGAAACAGAGAGACTGAGAAAGGGGATCAAGAAATAATTAAATAATTAATTGATTAAACGGTTGTCACTTGAAATAATTTATAGAAAATAGAAAACACTGTTGACAAATGAAGAAAATATTTTATACGACATTAAAAAAACACAATTTTGGATTCAAGTGTAGCAAATTTGTATGTTTACCAAAAACCAGTGCCGGCCAAATGAAAATACGTTGCGGTTATCATGGAATTCGTTGGTTAGTGCTAATGCCTTTGTTTCGGTTGCATAGATTGTTGATATAATTTTGATGTTCGCCCCTTGGCTCATTTTATTGGTGTGCTTTAGTGGGCGCCTTGCCAAACATTTTTTTTTAAACAAATTGTCGTCGCGCTCGACAACATTCCGCATGTGTTTACGCTTTACTACCACCGTCCTGGCAACGTCGATTTGGGCCCACTCTGTGTGACACATTGTGCCAGTGTACCAATGCGCAATGTGCTGCACACATATAAACAAGTACGGATGTAGCATGTACATATGTACGCAGGCTTGTTCATACATACTTATAATTAAAAAGCAACGACCGCACGACAAGATACATGTTCAGATACTTTGGCTTGGCCATCACATTTGCTGCTTCTATCGTGCCTGCTTAAAACTCGCATGCAGTTCGAAGGTGAATAGCAAAAGCATTTTACACATTTGTTTCTGCTTGCCGATGGTATTATGAGATCACTCTGTCGTTCTGGGATAAGCACATATTTTTTTTAACAGTGATCAAGCACTTCAAAATGGCTCCGATGTGGATCGATCACAAAACAATATTCTAACCCTAACTCAGATGATAGTCGAATGAACTAAAAACCTTTTCTATGCAGTATTTAAATTTTGATATTCTATCCATCTAAAAATAAAAATATAAATAATTAACCAAGATTATTATTTATTAATTGAAAAGGGGGCTGAATTATAGTTTTCTCACAAAGTTTAATCTACGGTGACTCCTCCCATCACATACGGAGAACGCTTTGATATCAGATATATGAATGCATAACATTGATTCAAACACAATCGTGAATATTATGAGAATAAGGGGTCTTCGCCGGAACAAACAGACGATCATATTGCTAATTGTTCCTCTTGCACCGGTATTCTAACTCCCTATTTTTAAAACACCAATCAAATAAAATATTAAAAAGAGACATGATTTGTTAGGGGTATTTATTATTATTATTATATCCTGAATTATTTTTTTCATTTTAAATTTGTAATTTAGCAATAATAATAAATTTAATATAATTTATAAATATTTTATAACATTTCATTTAACATTTTTTTATTAACTTAATAACAATTTTAGAATGTTTTTAGTCCACATTAAGTAAACAAATAAAGCAAACTAATTTTCTTATATTAAAATTAATAAACAAATGGAGAAAACCATTAGAAAATTCGTTTGAACTATATATTGAATCATGAACAATTGCAACAATTAGCAAAAATCAATATAAAAGTAATAAAAACAACTTTAATAAAATTGGGTTTTTAAAATTAATTAATTTTCTTGTTTTCCTCACACATTGGAAAATGGAAGTACGGACTATTTCCAAAACTAGTTCAAGCCGTGCATTAAAACAAATGGCGATTGCAACCTTGATTTAATATTTAAAATAAAATAACTAAGGAAATTTATACACAATTAAAGTGGACATATATATATATATACACATAAAATATTTTTTTTGCTAAACAATTAACCAACTCTGTTATGCGATTGCATTGCGTGTATATTTAATATTTAAGTCTCATTCGAAAAATTTAAACTCTTTACATATTCAACATTAATTCTTATGAGAAAACCAATCTTCAAATATTTTTGCAATGTTTATCTTAATCCGAATTTTTGATGTTCCAATAAGAAAAGCATTTGACCATCGTTCACCTTTGAACACATTCACAAATACGTGTGTAAACGTATCTATGTGTTTGCCAAGCTCGTACCACATGTTTGGCAAATATTCTCGTAGATTTCTTGTTGTGACATTCTCATACAAATGTGTTTATGTGTATATACGATAGAAACATACAAACGTACATATATCTAGGTATGGGGAGATGGGCGTTTCGGGGGAAATACTTGAATTCATATAAAAATAAAACTATAGAAACTTGCAATAAAATAACTAAAGCAGAAGCACGCAGACAAGCGGACAGACAAAGACTATTGTGTACAAAAATAAATAATGAGAGACAAAGCCAACTGAGAAATTACAAAAGAAAATTTGAAAAGCAGACAACGAAGACGTTGACGGCACTGCCGACGCTGACGCCGACGCCGACGCCGACGTTGACGTCGACGCCGATAATAGCAGCAGTGCAAACAAAACTTACGGTCGAATGCTTCAAATAAAACACTTTCGGTTTTCAGACGCGACGTCATAAAAAATGTTAAATGCAAATTAAGGTGATATTTTCAATGTCACTCTCTAAACATGTGTATAAGTAGCTTGCGAATTTTCCACAAACTTAATGCTCAGTCATGCCACATGCCACTTATTGCTCAATCGCTCACTCACCCACTCAGTCACTCAGTCAGTCAGCTAGTCAGTCAATCATCAATCAGTAATCAAATGCCCAGTCCTGCGCTCCCTCTAAATACAGATCCCATCTAACTCTTATACAAACTCTAACTTTCATACATTTTGATTGTGTTCTCGATGTTCACATATTTTTCGTCCCTCGTCGTCATGTCGTACGTTTTGCCTATGTGCATGTTATATATTATATATATATATATTTTTTTTTATTATTTTTATTTTTTTATTGTCTTTGTTTTCTTGATTTTATGCGCACATTTTTATGCATCATATTTGTGTTTTTAGTTTATTTTGCAATTTTTCGTTTATACTTAATTATATTTATTTTAATGTCGCTAAACGAAAATCGTGAAGTGACCAATAAGAAACAAAATACAAAAGATACAAAAAGAAAAAAAAAGACAAAATTAAAAAAACAGCAACAGAAACAGAAATCGAATATGTTCTATCATACAAAACCTTTTTGCAGATTTTTGATTTTGTATCCCCATCATCACCACCACCACCACTACAACAACAACAATAACAACTATAAGAACAAGAACAAGCACCAACAAGAACAAGAACAAGAACAGCAACAACAAGAATATCAACTGCGTCAAGTGCGACGATGGCTGCCATAAATACGGTAAGTACGCGAAAAAGCATCGCCCAAAAACAAGAGCAACAACAAATGCCACAATAATACGCCAGTTTATGTGTGCAATCATTCAGAAGGCATAATAAATTATATACGTATATACATGTTATGCCTTGCACATATAGCGTTTATTTATATAATCAAATTGGCCATCACTGCGTATGAGGAATATTCAACAAAAACACACAGTGCATGCTTCTAATGCATAAATAATCATCGGGAGGCTATAAAATATTTAAATTTAAAGCTAATCAAATATTTAACTCATAAAATTACGCATACGCCGTGTTAAATTGCTCTAAATATTGAGCAAGCACCAATATAAATAGCAATGTGCGTATGTATGCAATTTCAATATAATTCAACAGTTGAACAGCAAATTCATAAACATTTCCCAATTTAAGACGAAAAAAAAAACGTAAATAAATAAGTAAATACACATAAAGGCCCAGGCAGCTTCGCGACTTGGACTTGGTTGATGAATCGCTCATGCTTATTGATGACGACAACAACGTTGGCGATGGGAAAGCTCTTCCTCAAGCATGGAGGGGTTGGTAAAAAGAGGGATGGCATCAGTTGAAAGGGGGGGACGGGGCTGTGGCGGAACATGTGTTTCAGCTCATTTTACTAATAAGCAAAAGCCGATGACAAATTGCCGAATAACGATTTCAATTTTATGTTGACATGAGCTACGAAATTTTTATGAATACCATATATGTAACTCAGCCAGTTAGTATATCAATATTATATATACGAAATGCTGGTGGGCCAAATGGTCTGCGATAAAATTCATCGGCAAATCATGAGTCCAACATCCACACTTACCTCAGTCGAACGATTCTCAACCAACTCTTGCTCTTTCATTTTTCACACCAGCTGCAAAACTCATCGTTGGTATTTTCTTCTCTTTTTGTTTTTTTTGTTTTTTTTTTTTTGAGTGACATTGACATTTGATTGACACATGAATCACGCTATAAAAATACACACACGCATGTGCACCGTGGGGCAGGTAAAGATGGTCCCGCATCATGTCGTAACAGGATGTGCCGTCATGTTTGGCGGTGTGTGCTGTTTGTTGTTTGACAGCATGACATCTTAGCCGAGATTTGTATCAGTTTGCCCATGCGCATTAACTTTGAGCTCTTCTCAACAATCATAAATAGCTGCTGCTGCAAATAATTAAAGAGCTCACAACTAATAAACCTAACAATCGCATTAGGGCTACTCAGATGTGATTAATGTTCATTGGGAGTTTGCCAACTGTTTGCAAGCAGTCAGGCATAAAATATGTTATAATCGCTTCTTATTGAACCATTCAAATGCACGCATTGAAAGCAATTTATGAAAAATGTGTGGCACGCAGGCAGCAGCTGGGTGGAGGGCAACTGGTAACGCCCATGTGAACTGTGGGGCATTATGAATAGCAGTCATTAGTTTGCATAACAGGCAGAAGGAAGCTTGTCTGACCCCATAAAATATATATGTTATTGATCAGCAACAGTCGTGTTGTTCTGGCCATTTCTGTCTGTTCGTCTGACTTTAAATTTGGAATGTTACTTTTCGCTTATAATATTTTATCGATAACTCTCCCTGTTTCGAAAAAATCGATACAAATAAATTTCCGATAGCAGTAAATGCCACAACTTAGAGCCTTTCAATTGAGAAATAATACACCTTGACATTTCAACAGGATTGGAAAATAAACTCAGAAGTTATAGTAAGTATTCTGAATTTGATCTTTTTACTATACGCAGACGTAAGTATTTTTTGTATGCTGGGTTCAGGGTATCTCGTGGTCGACTACAGAATTCTCATTTGTTTAAATACATTGTTGCTTTACATCAATTTGGGATGTTCTTATTATTATTCATGTTTTCCGACCCAAACATTTATATTCTTCAGACGATTAGCTGAGACAATTTGTTAGTCACTACACATTCATATTTGTTTGCCTTTCTACTTTTAAGAAATATTTTCCATTACTAAGAAATATACTTCTGCAAAATAGAAAAACTCTTTTTTAATTTTCAGTATTTTTTTCTCTAGTCTACTATTCAATGCAGTCCAAGTGCATTTAGTTTGATATCTTGAAAAATAACAGCTAGAAGTTTTAACTTCAAGCTAGAATAGGTCGGTGATGAGAGTAAATAATTTCTTAGTATCAATTGGCAATTAAAATTAAATGAAATGAATACAAGATAAGCACATATAAATTCACAGCATTCGCGTGAAATTTGTCCGAGTACCGAATGAAACTGGACAACTCACGTGATACTCAAGAAATTAAGTTTACCAAGCACTTTTGCTTATTTCTTCATAAAATTCTTTATTTACAATTGCATGTTTTCGTTCAATATTAGGGGGAAGTACGAAGGTAGTCAAAACATTTGCTAAATTAGTGCTTAAAAGTCAGAAATCAATTAAAAGTGCTCCGACCTGCTCTAAATAAATATTAAAGCAATTTAAAATGAACTAAACCTGAATATAAGGCACAATACTGGCGCCTCCATCAGATAGACACTTGGGGCATTGGTCAAGGCAAGTTTGCGCTGTTTATTTTGCACACAGACTGAACAATAAAAATTTTGTTTATTTATGCATTGCGAAATTTAATGTGCTCGAAGCAACTAATTTATGCGAATGTCTTCGTTTTAGTTTTCATTGTGGTTATCGTCGCAGGCACTTCTGGATATTTATGCCCGGTCTGTTTTTGTTTTTATTTGTTTTCGCTTGTTTTGCGGCTACGGGCAATTGCAATTGTTGCCACATTAATTGGGCATTGGTTGCGGCTTATCAAGATCTTTAATTGGTTCACACCTCCACCAGTGACCATTTGAATCGAATGTGTATTTAGATATGGCCAACTAAACTTTAATTAGCCCAGTGCGCCGACTCATCATTTTTAGTGCATTTTAATGAATGTAGGCAGACGTTGTCAACTTATCAAAAGGATGCCTAAAAATACAAATTATGTATACATATATGTTGTTAGTCTTACATTATTTCGTATAGAATTGAGTGCGAAATTTTTTCAATTACGTTGTAATGAGCCGTTTTGAATTATTCAACATTTTATTTGTCGTTCGACTTCCGACAATGGTTTAATACAAATGATTCAAAAAATTAAATGCATTTGATTAATTAATTAATGCGAGACACCAACGTTGTTGATTTTCTGCTATTAGGTGACAGTTGCCGTGAATTATCAATAATCTCAAATAATCCTCTTTGACAGCAGCAGCAATCGCTTGTCCGCGTTTTTTGGCATCCATTTAGAAAGTACACGACAATATATTGTCTGTGTATCTCTTGCTATATCTCTCCCTATCTCTCTCTCTCTGTATCTCTCTCTATCCCTCTACTTTATACTTAGTCTAAAACAGAAATACACACACAAGTTTGTATATTAGCCTGTGTGTAGTCATAATTAAGCAGCTTTTGGCAATTGCCACACTGTCCGCAGGTATCCAAAAGCATACATCTGCCTCTGACGAATCTCAGCGCTCAGCGTGTGTTGATGTGCAGCGCCTCTCTGGGCAGCGAGGGATCCGTGACACTGCAACTGAGAGATGCGAGTACCTTGGAGACAGCAGCCGATAGCACAACACCAACAACAACATCGACATCGACATCAGCAACAGCAGCAATAACAACAACAGCAACATCAAATCCAATAGCAACATCGTCATTGAGCAGCCAATCAAATGGCGTCACAGTGCTTGAGACATCGTCATCAGCTGCGTCAGGAATAACGTCAGCATTGGAGAATGCTCTGACCGTTGGCTATCCGGATCCGGAAATGCTAGCAGATGTTTTAGGCACCATACAGACAGCCTGTAAGTGGAAAAGATAGTGCAATCAGATAACAGATATGCAGCTGAATTAGAGAATTATAGAAAATTGCAGAATTAGCGACAAATTGTTTTTATTTTTCAACAAAAGGAGGGAAATTAATGTTAAATATATATTTAAATTCTAAATATTAATAAAACACAAATTTCTTCTTACTTACTAATTTTCAGAAACACTTTTTTTTTTTTAATAAGAAGTAAAAAATTAGAAATTAATAAGATATTAGAAATATATTTCTTAAAAAGAAAAAAATAGAGTTAAACAAAATTAAAAGAAAATATGGTATTATATAGATATTGGATATTAGAAATATATTTCTTCAATTTATTATTGGTCGGTGAGGTTTATAATTTAAATATATTTTTTGCTGGATCCAGTAGAAAAACATATTTATAAATATTTCTTTAAAATATTTCTTAAAATTGAAACAATTTCTGTTTTTTTTTTCAAAGCGATTTGTTAGGCGAGATCCAAAAAATTAGGCAAATTGTTTATCTGAGTGTATTTTGTATTTTGCAACCCTAACCACAGACTAAATGCGTATATATATTTGCAGCTCTTAAAAACAAGCATAGCAACAACAGTAATAATAGCAACAACAACACCAGCATCAAAAGAAGCAATAACAACAAGAGCAGCAGCACTGCAGCGACAATTCTGACAAGCTCCGGGATACATCTGAATAGTCCCAATAAAATAACGATAACACGTCGCAGTGCCAGCAACAAGATTAGCGTACAGACTGTGAGCACATCGACGAACACAACGATTAGCAGCATTGGCGGCAGCAAGACCAACTACATTAAGAACTGTCTAATACGAAGCAGCAGCTGCAGCAACACGGCCACCAATGTTACAACGTTGGCACAGATTCTGAGCAACAGCAGCACCAGCAGCGCAGCCAGTTTACTCAGTCAGCACAACAACAATAGCAACTGCAGCAACAGCAGCAACTTTAGCATCGCATCCTCTGTGGGCAGCATTGGCAGCGTCAGCAGCAACACCAGCAACACCAGCAGCAGCAGCAATTGTAGCAGCAGCAATAGTAACGATAGCAACAGCAGCCTCGGTCAAAGCTTAAGCTTCAAGAGCAATGGTCGAAATGTTGCTGGCATAGTTACAGCATCAACAACATCCACGAGCACAGCAGCAACTGGCATTGGCATTGTCACCGTCGACAACGCGCCCAGAAAGAGTCGACCCAAATTATCCTCCCCTACGCGTCACGGACCTCAGCAGTGTCAGGTGCGTATTTGATTGGATTTTGTGGGTTTTTTTTTTTTTTTTTGTGAATTATCATTGGATTGATTGAGGCAAATAAAAATGACAATACAAAATACCGAGTACCTTACTAAAGCTTATAAGCAAACATTAGAGTCATCCCATTCATTTTGCTCTCCTTAAACAAGTAACTAAACTATAATCAAATATTATTATCATGGGAATACATTTGAACATAAATTAGTAATCAGTTTTGAGATACACAACAAGATTTTATACATAGTATTTTGCACATGGTAAATGCAAATTGAAGCATGTTTTTATTAAGACAGCTGTACAATTTGCATTTAACTGTCTATCACAATTAGATTCTTGTTTACATGTTTAGTCACAACACATTGTAGGTTGGCAATAAAATAAATGAATATTTATATCAAGTATTTGTATAATCTTTGAAACTTTTGAAAACCATTTTGAGATTATTTATTTATTTATTTATTTATCTTAATTGTATGTATATGATATATCTTTATTTATAAATAATATGTTTTGAATTTGATGTGTTAATTCAGACAGACAAATGTTGATATTGATACTTGTATTGATGAAGTAAATGTCTGCACAAAGAGGTTGGAGATGTCACCTTTTAATTTAATCATAGTAACTTTTGTTAATTAAATTGCTAACAGAAAGTAATCAATTAAAGTGGTTTATCTTTCCTTCAGTTTAAGCTCATCTATTTCAATTACTGCCATACACTCTTGCTAAACAAAATTTGCAGTTAAAATTTATTGAAAACACTTTGTTTAATTATTTATTTATTTATTATTAGTTCTACGATTCTTTGTGACACAAATGGATTTAATAAATTGTGGCCCAGGTTAATAAAGCGAAAAATAAATATTTCTATAATAAAAACGCTTTCAATATAAATAAAATACTTATTAGAAGAGTATAAGTATTAAATATTGATTATTTGTACTTTATTAGCTCCAAAAATCAATATTACATTTAAAATTGTCTTTTTTTTTATATTAAAAAAACAGATGCTGACCAAATTAGTTAATATAGCTTAGTTATAATAAGCAATATTATTCTCATTAAAATGAAATAAATGTTAGACAAATATAAATATTAAATATTGAATATTTGTGTTGTATTAGTTTCAAGGAACGATATTTCATTTATCAAAATTGTCATACGCTCAAGAAATACTCTTAAGTAGAACAGAAGTTTTTCAAATCAGTAACTTTCCTTAGTTGTCTTGAACAATTAAGTTTTTAACTAAATTAAATAAATAATACTAGCATTTTAGCATAAAATATTGAATATTACTATTTCATTCTTATATTTAAACTTTTTATTTATTTAATTTATAAAAATAATTGTCCGCTCAAAAGATTAAAGTCCACAAACTTACCAAAATAGTTATACGAGTATTAGCTTAGTTGCTATCAAATGAAGCATTTCTACAAATCTAACATATTAGAGTAGCATTTGAGGTTGGTGTCGGTTTTTGGTGTCTGTGGCTATATCTATATTTTATGAACACGGGCGTAATTAGTGTATGTTGTGTCATTGCGTATACGCAACGTAGCTCATTAAAATTTCCAAATTGACGGTTAGGGGCAATCGACAGTCGTGTGCAACGCTTTCAATTATGTGGACGACATGTGGAGGATGCCGCATGCGATGCTAATTACATTTCACTTTGCTTGTGTATATACTTTTTATAGATTTGTAGCAAGATATTCGGAAATGCCTCGGCGTTGGCCAAGCACAAATTGACGCACAGCGACGAACGGAAATATATTTGTGCGCTCTGCTCGAAGGCATTCAAGCGGCAAGATCACTTGTAAGTTAATGAAGCGCCGCATTGATCCACTGATCCACTGATCCACTTACACACAACAACCACCACATCCGATTCTTCTTTATCCGCTGTAGAAACGGACACATGATGACGCATCGCAACAAGAAGCCTTACGAGTGTCGAGCGGACGGCTGTGGCAAATCATATTGCGATGCGCGTTCCCTTCGTCGTCATTCAGAGAATCACCATGGATGCGTGCCGACCAGCGAATCACTCTCGCCCACGGCCAGCACCAACGGCAACGTCAGCAACGGCATTAGCAGCTTAACTGGCAGCGGGAGCAGCAATAGCAGTAGCAACGGCATCGGCGTTGCCACCAGTTCCCTGAGCCTATCGCCGGCTACGGCCAGCGGGGATGCCAGCTCACCGGATGGCGCCACCTGCATTCGCACATATATTTCCACTGGTAGCTCCATTGTGGATGCGGCCACTGGAATTGCGCTGTCCGATGAGCAAATCAGGGCAATGAATTTGCCCATAAAAACGGGTGTTACTCTACTCTCGCCCACCACATCGACATGCTCGACAACATCTTCCACCGCATCTTCTATGTCATGCTCGTCATCGGGCAATGGCAACGGCAGCTCCGTTGTGGCCAGTTCACCCACCATAACGCTCTGTGATGGCGCAACGCTGGAGGCCGAGGGACTCACACGCGAGCAACTCGATCTCATCAGCAAGATCATGCAGCAGACGAAGCAAACCAGTGCCCAGGTCACAGTCTCGTCGCCCACCAGCGTTAGTTCCTATAAAATCAATACGGAAACAGCCCAGGTCTCGGCGCGACCAAGGACCTGGAACATGCAATTGGTGAGCATAGTAAAATCTGCTCCGAAGTTATTACAGTACAATTTCATTCACTGTATATTATATATAATAATTTAGAATTGTAAGCAAGTTAACTTTGAAACGCAACAACTAAGCTTAAACTAAGATTAAACTAAATAAAATAATGAAGCTTCTTATAAACTTAAACATTTTATTTATTTATATTATTTTTGTAATTTGTAGTGTACAAATCTTTTTAAGATTTAATAATTTAATCGCACATATTCTTAAAAAGAGTTGGCGTTTTTTAAGCGTATCCCCGATATTTTATTTATTTATATTATTATAATATTAAGTGCACAAATCTTAAAAAGATTTGGAAATAAATAATATTGAGTTATATGGAATTTTAAATTCAAATAATTAAGAGATTTCAAATTAAAAATGAGAAGTTAAATTAGAATTTTAATTAAATATTATTAATTATTTGATGTAAGCATCAATGAAAGTTATTTCTTAAGTGTATACATAATTAAATAACGAATATTTTTCGAATTGTCGATTAAGTAGAAGCGTCTCATTTTTAAATTGAATTATAAAACAATTTTTTTCATTTACTTTATTCATGAATACATATGCTAAAAACCTTTTCAGCTCAATAATGTGCAAAATGTGACGCTTACAGTGGACGAGGGCACCGAACTGGTTGCCTCCGCATCAAGCCCACCCGATGAGGTAAAGGACGATGAGCTGGGCCAGCAACAGTTAGTTACCGCCATAAATCCCCACCTGCTCAACATTGTGAAGGTCGACAAGCCAGTTGAGTGTAATCTCTGTCACCGTAAGTTCAAAAATGTACCCGCACTTAATGGGCATATGCGTCTGCATGGCGGCTACTTCAAAAAGGATCCGGAGACGAAGCGCAGCGAGAAGAAGGACTCCGGCGGACCTCCCCTGCAGACGGCCAGCATTGGAGTGCGTGCCCTTATCGAGGAGAAGATTATAAGCAAGCGAAAGGACATCAACAAGGTAAGCACTGAGAATAAGTAACCATAAATATTGATTGCTTTAAATTTGTTTATTCAAAAAAAGTCATGTTCATAAAAGAATTTTGAATGACTGCTTTTTGTGCATATTTAGGTCGTGATGATTATTTCTTAAGTGAATAAATAGAAAAGCAAAATAATTATGATTTTGTAAATTTTATTTATTTTTAGCTCAATAAAAGAAATAGTCTTATTGATTAGACTTTTTGTGGCAAGCTCGAACACAAGTTCGTATAAAGTATGCCAAAGCAAACCCAATTTGAGTTTGAGAAAAATGTTGCTCTCTTTAGAAAGGAAACATGACAAAATAATATTAATTTTTTGTTTGTTTTAACTGAGGATACAATTAGTATGATTTTTATATATATATTTATGATTTTTATAATATAAGCTATAATGCTTAGAATGGAAATTCAAAATCCACTAATGCAGTCTCTAATCTTGCAGGGTGCCTTTGCAGTTCCTGCACCACCCAGCAGTGCGGTTAATAGTGGTGTCGTCAGCTGCAACAATAACAATAACAGCAACATCAGCAGCAGCAACAACAACAACAACAGGAATTGCAATCTGCGTCGCTCCATCAGCGACTTGGAGAGTTTTCTCAGTCCGAAGAGCAACGCGAACTGTAGCCTGAGCCAAGCGTTAGCCACCTCTTGCAGCACCACCACAACCACAGCGGTGCTGCCCGCTGCAACCACCATTAAGAGCAGCAGTGGTCTAAGCATTCAACAGATTGGCCTACCGCAAAGCATCGAGATCTTCAGCGGTGGGCAGAGACAGCCGAAAACTTTGAGTTTGGGCAGTGGTGCAAATACAATTACGATAACCACCAACAATGTGCCTACGACGACGACAATGAGCGCTCTGTCGGCACTAAAGGGCGCCAGCAGCATAAACAGTGTCTCTGGCAATGCGGATCCCAAGGATTCCACATTGATTGAGCTACTCAAGCGTGGCACAAGGATTGCCGTCACCTCGAAGAAGGCACAAAACACAAGTACAAATCTGCTGCTCAGCAATGCGGCCAACGCCGAACTCATTGGCAACAGTGTCCAGGCAGCGACTAGTCGTCAGATTATCACCAACAACAATCGCACAGTGATTATACCCTCGGATGTGCATGTCGTGTCCACAAAGTCCAACAAGGTGAGCAGCAACGGAGCAAGCAATGCGAACAGTATCTCTCTGCCGGATGGCACACCACTCTCCCTGACCATTGGAGGTAATCAGGAGAGCATTGGGCCAAGCAGCATCTCGGGTGGTGTCAATGGGGTCTATGCGGTCACCTACACGACCAATACGGATGCTGTTGATTTATTTGGCAATGCCGAGGTGTTTAATGTCTCGGATACGGAAATGCTATTGCAAACTGTGGACACAATGGAACTGCTGAACAATGAGGAAGAGAATGAGGATGAGGGGCACAAGCAAAGCGAACATTCCGAGAACTTTCCGCTGCTCAACAGTGTTGAGGACGATGTGCTGATCAAGTTGGAGCCAGAGTCGGGCACACCCAATACCAATACCAACACAAACACAAACACCAACCCTAATCAGACAACAACGCCGTTGCCCACGTTCCAGCAATTCCATTCCAAGGAGCTCATCATGCAGAACAGCTCGCAGATTCAGGCGATTGCCAATATGCGAGGAGGTGTTCTCTCATCACCATTGCATTCGCCATTGGCTTATCCGACACCGCCGTCCAGTCACGAGAATGTTGCTCAATCCTCGCCATTTATTGAAGATGCTGCGGCCCAGTTTGTGGACGCCAACCACACCTTCTTCGGGGATAAGACAGATTTCTCGCACGTCTATTTCAAGACGGATGACGATTGCATGCAGCATCAGCTCAACGAGAATGACAATGAGAAGATACTCAAGTTAAAGACGGTGCTGGAGGAGAGCGCTTTTGATGCTTCCATCAAGGTGGAGGATCTCTTAAATGGCACCGAGGATGATGCTGAGTGTGATCTGCGTGAGTTTGCGGAAACTAATTTGTCGTTTCTCGATGAGGATCAGGAATTCCTGAATGACTCACGCAATGCCACCTCACCTCTCTCAGAGTCCTTCTTCACCAGTGGCATTGGCTCCGCGGAGGATGTTAAGCAGGTGCTTCGCGAGGTCCTTCCAGATGAGAATATGCAATTGCAGCTGAGCAGCGAACAGCTGGCTGAGAATATCATCGATCTCTACTATTTGCCCGGATTGGGACTGCAATCGCAAATGATGTCCAACTCGGATGATCCGCTCTTGTCCTCTTCTCCCCGAGATTTTGGCCTGCAGCGTCAGGTGGTCCATGCGACGACGTCGGCGACCTCATCGACGGTACCGTCCATGGACCAGTTGCAATCTTCCGGGGTCATGTTTGAGCAACAACAGCAACAATTGCCGCCTCAACGGCAGCAAGACGAGCAGCAAGAACTGCAACCACAGCAGCAACAGCAACAGTTAGGGATCGGGCAACAGCCGCAGCAGCAGCAACAGTCGGACTTTATGCTGTCAAACTTTACGCCCGTGTCCTGTCAAACGCAGTATTTGGACGCCAATCAGCAGTCGATGACTATGCAGCCACTTAACAATCTGCTGCAACCATTACTCTTCGGCAGCAACAATAACAGCAACAACAACAACCACAGCATCGACAAGCAACAAGAGTTTGGAACGCTGCTGCAAACAACAAACGGACAAACATCCGCTCTGGATGCTAGCCTGATCTTTGCCTGCGGCGACGGAATCAAAAGTAATTCCAACAACAATAAATCGCTGATTGCCAACTTACCCGCAGCAGCTCCAGTGGCGACACCATCACCCAGCTTTTCCAATCTGCAACCGTTGTCCAATCAAACGAATTCCATATTGAAACGTCGCCTGCGCTCAAATGGTGCACAGGATGTGCACAAGTTCTCCAAATTCCATACGCTATCGCCACATCGCTCCAAACTGCGCAAACCCTCGCGCACCCACTACACTCCGGCGCCAATATTGAATCCGGATCGGAAGGGCACCGGTCTATATTACAGTGTACGCAAGCAGCTTGGTCAAAACATGTTTGATGCCTTTGACGATGATTTCGGTGATCCTGTGGGCCTGGTGGACTTCTCCGATGAGTCCAAGGTGAATCTGGGCTCGACGTATCAAGCGCAGATACCCGCCTGCAAGCCACTCGAAGAGGCCATCAAGGAGACAATGTGCGCGGACATGATGTGGGATCCTAGCGTACAGATCGACGATAAAATACTGATGCGCTACATAGATCTCAGCAAATCCTCGGCCGTGCCCATGGGCAGCCATTCAGAGGAGGTAGCCCTCCAAGCCCTGCTTGAGGCGAAAGGTAATTCGGCGGCGGCGGTGTTAACCCTTCTGCAGACGCAGTCCAGCGCATTCCAAATGAAATGGACAGCATACGAACTGGAGCAGTTTTTACGCGGCCTGGAAAGGCATGGCAAAGACTTTGGCAAAATCGCCAGCGAGGTAATGAAATGAAAAATATGATAATTATTTTATAAACTGATTTGCATAGAAGTTCATATACTTAGTTGCTTACTTACTTCTTAAACACAATTTACGGCGTGTATTTTAAATAAAATTTATGTAAGTTTCGATGAATCAGTTTAAATTTCTTTAAGCTCGTAAATCGCTTACTGATGAACATGATGATTGTATAAATTAGTAGGAATATGTTGAAGCAGATTAGCTTGCTGTTTGCTTACCAGAATCAAATCTTATGAGACAATCGATAAAGCATTTCCTAGCATAAAATTCTGTTTGAATAGATAATAGATTTGTTTAAGATACTGGACTTAAGCAAATCTATTTTACTGCTGCCGTTCTACGATCAGATCTGAATTTGCCGGCAGCATCGATTATCAAATATATATAAAATTGACTCTAATCTCAAAAAGATTTTACAATTTTATAAAAATTATAAAATCCATTAAAAAAAAACAAAATCTCAATTTTATTTAAATTATATTAAATATTTGTCTACATTATATTTTTTGAAACACAATCTCATAAATACAAATTGAATTTTATGCATTTTAGCTGCTCACCAAGACATCGGGCGAATGCGTGCAAATGTATTATTTTTGGAAGAAGCTCTGTGTTGATTACAAGGTATCCCACCTGAAAATGGAGCCAGTTCCGCCCAGCACCCCAGTTGTGGAGCAAAAGCCATATGTCTGCGAGATTGCCGACTGCTCAGCGGTAAGTTATAGTCTACGAGTATGTGTATGAGAATGCTGCGGCATGTTTAGTTCGCCCCACACACACACACACACACACTCAGACACACACACACGCAAACCATGTCCTCATACCTTAGTCGGGTTCATTCTGTTTACTTTCTTTCTTGTACATAATGCTGATATCCCCGCCCCGATCAAACTGTAGAGCTTCAGCTCGAAGGCGGCGCTGCACGGTCATGTTCGCATACACGCTTATGGTAGAAATGCCAGCAACAGCAACAACAACAACAACAACAACAACAATCAGCATGCCACGGCAATTAGTGCCAACAACAGCAACAACCACCATAGTTCCAGCAACAGCAACAACAACACCAATAACAGCAACGCATGCGCGCCCCAGCCTAGCAGCAATAGCAATCAATGCATCAGTGCAACAATAACAGCAACAACAACCGTAGCGCACACAAATGGCAATAACAGCAGCAACACCAATACCAATGCCAACAACAATAACAGCAACAACAACAACATGAACAGCAACATCACCAATGCAACTGGCACTTCCATAAACCCAACGTTGCTATCAGCAGTAGCAACAACATCGACAGCAACAAAAGACAGCAACAGCAACAATTCCAATATTGCAAAGGACACCGAGTTCCCCTGCAAGGTGTGCGGCAAGTAAGAGTCAAAAATAAATATATATACATATATATTTAAAAATAAAGAGAATATCTACAACAATTCGTAAAAAACATAAAATTGACAACTCATGAAAAAAATTTGAATTACGCAAGCATATTGAGCGATTTGAGTGCCCGTATTGAGTTAAGACCGTAAAGCACGTTATATCGTAACCGTAACTTTCGTATCAAGACATATTCGTAATTGAATCCGAATTTTGGATTTGTAACTAGCTCTTTTCGTTTTCGTTTTCGTTTTGAACGTCATTTTCTTTTCAATTTAAATCTATGATTTTTGATTTCAAAGTAATTTCTGCTCTTAATTACTACACTTTCAATCTACTGCCCCCATCAATTTCTCTATATTTCTCTGTCTTTCTGTCTCTCTCTCTCTCTCTCTCTCTCTCTGTTTGCTTCATGCCTTGATTTTGTAGTGTTTCTGAAAAGATTTTAGTTCATTCCATATATATCAGTTTAAAAATTTTCATTCGTTTTAGTTAGCGTTTCCATTAAGCGATAATAATTGTTGTTATTGTTGTTGTATTGTATTTATTGTTCCATGATGCGAAACCAATGCAAAAATCAATCAAAATATATTCAATTACAATATGCGTGCCAACCAAAACCATCAAATCAATAAAAATGATTCAATAAATTGCAATTTTAAAGCGAAGAATCACAAGTCGCAAATAGACGTTACTGAAATCAGCTCCTCACACTCTCAGCCAAAGGGCGAGTAAAAAAAATCGCTTGGGCTACGTCGTCAGAATTGTTGGTAAGTGGTATATGATTTATAATTTTAAGTTTTCACTTTTGCGTTTTCTTTGATTTAATTTCCATTTGTCTCTCCATTACTTCGAATCACTTTGTTCTCTGATTTGATCAATTATTGTACTTATCTTGTTTTCTAAATGCAGCGCTAAATGCCATTTGCATTTAATCTATTGTAAATATTATAACACCCCAATCACCGTTTCTGGGAAATTCATCCAACTAACCAATTTAACCAATTTCTTAATGTGAAGTTCTTTCATATGACGAAACTTGCTTTATGCGTGATCCTGACCAGCTAATTGGCTGACGATTTTTATCAAAAAATCAAAGATTACTATATCTGAAAAAAGAAAAACGTTTTGAGATCACAACTGAAGAATCATCGCAATTGTATCTATAATAATACTATAACATTCAAGCGCACATAACTTTTAACTCTTTTGTTATCTTATTATATCTATACTTATTCATTTTCTTTTAAGTTTCAAAACTATAAAGCAAAACTCTGTACTCTCCATAGTAAATAATAACAACAAAGCAATTTAACTCCACACAAGGTTAAGTAACAAACTACAAAAAGAAGAAGAAAAAAATGGACCCATATGAAATGCTTCTCATATTTTTGCATGAAACTCTCTTCACCGCTGAATCTATATACATATATGTGCATGCATCTTAGTTATCGATTACTTTTTGCTATATCTGTGTTATTCGCCTATATCTACATGTCTATGTTATATACTACCGGTTGCATTTTAATTAATATACAGTCCAGTCCATGTCACTGTCCGACTCTAATATGAGGCACTTGCTGCTTTTTTATTTCTGCAATTTATATTTTTAACAGAGTCTTCAATAAGGTGAAAAGTCGCAGCGCCCATATGAAAACGCATCGTGTGCAAGAATCAGAACAATCAACCAATTCCAAACAGCAATCGGCCACCAATGCAAATCTGTCTGCTGTTGCCGTGGCAGTGGCACTGGCAGCAGCATCAGCATCGGCATCGGCAGCAGCAGCAGCATCAGCAGCGTCTGTGGCATCTACAGCAGCATCAGCTTCAGCAGCACCCTCTGCAGTATCGGTTACGGCCTCCACCTCGTCGTAGATGTGGATCATCCGTGCCCAGCATAGATTGACAATCGCGTTAAGCAAGCAGCAAGCATTGTTTACCAATCTTAGAATTAAATTTTAGTCTTCAATCAGAACAAAAGCAAATGAGAATACATAATGTTAAATGAAACTCAGAGTTGAATGTAATGTATTAATGTAAGTAAATGAATTATGTAATTTTGATGTATTTAGCAGTTAATGGCATTTTTCTCATACATACTTTTCACATGTTTTCTACACGCTCTCCCCTATCTATCTATCTATCTATCTATCAATCTATATAATTATCTACTATCTCTCCTAGCGAACTCTTTGACTTGATCTGTAGTTAAGGTCTAAGCCATAAATTTTACATACATACATATAACCATACATTGAAGCAAGTTCAAATTGAATTGTTATTAACTATTGTAAGCAAATGCAATATTTGTGTTACATACTTACATACATACAAAACATATACCTACCGTATTTTTATAGTAGGCGTTTTCTCTCGACTCTCGACTCGACTGTAGTTTTAACAATTAATCTATTAACTATTAGTAGCGCGTACGTACTGTTAACTACATGTTTTTCTACTTAAACTAGTTGCATCACATTTTACAGATACTTTACTAGTGCGATACATGTTTAGTTTGTAAGAGTTATGATCTGTATCTGTATGAGTATAAGGACATGCATAAACATAATTATATACATAAACATAAATGAAGTATATATATATATGTATAAAAGTATATATACATATACGATGATTGTTGTTTTAGGTTTTAAGCTGCAATTCAGCAAATTTCAATCGGTTGAAATTTAACTTTTATTGTACTTACACATCTAAACTATTGTACTTAATACATATTGCTATATGTGAAGCAAATAAAAATTCTAGTGAAATCAAGTGATATTGAGTGAGATCAAAAACGATTTTAGCTAAAAACAAAATCTAAATAAAATAAAAAAAAAATAACTGACAAAAAAAAACAAAGTGAAACTCAAATTGAAAAATTTTAACTTTTAACGCCATTCTGTAAATAAAACTAACTACATACATATTTAGTTAATAAGTGCATATATGCATATATAACTAGATAATTATATTGTAAATATATACATATATATACATACATATAAGCCAATGTTATTTTAATGTTTCTCCAAATGCATAAAAGACATTATTTTATCGATAACAAACACAAACACACACAGTGAAACAGACACACTCATTCACCTTTTGGTGAATATGAATAAGTATAGTAAATTTCTTTTCAATTAGATTACACACATTTTACACATAATACACTTAACGTTTTAAATAGATAAATAGTAATTAAGAACTTGCATATGTATATTAATTATTTAGTACATATGTACAACAGTAAATCTGCCAGTAAAATGATGAATAACCACAACAACAACAAGAACAACAAGAATCACACGTTTTCCATTTGGACAGTGAGCTAATGTACTACAAACAAATAGATCAATTGAGTGTACGCAATAAATGTTTACGATGCCGGTGGTATATTATGACGTAAATTAGTTAAACGTAATGTAATTGATAATGTAATATAATTGTAACAAAATGCATGCATGCGAAATCAACTTGTATTTAGACTAACAACTACAAAATCCGAACACACTCACGGCCAAGCGAAATGCAAACAAACTTTTAGCAATTTTCAAGGTTGTACTTTGCTTAGTGTATGCGTCATTTTTGCTTGTCAAACAAAATATGAAATCAGCTAGCGTAATTAGTTATTAAGAACAGACAGAAGCCAGTCCTGAACTTCAAATACTCGTGCAGCGGAATGTATAATAAATATGTATATATATATATATATATATCTATATAAGTTCCAATGCACATCATTGTGGCCGTTTGCCAATAGCTCTTTACGTTATATTTATTAAAGCCATAATCATAGTCCTTATTTGAGTATCAATGCATAATTATTTGGTATTTGTGTGAGTCACATGTACACACACACACACACACACACACACACACACACACACAGACGTAATAAGTGCATATGTGTGCACAAATGTAATCAGCTACAGCAACCCACCACTAAGCACCTTTTAAACTGTTTGTTGTGGGCTACGAAAGCCGCTTAAAGACTCTTCTCATACCAGTTACAATACTATTTTTGTACTATACGTATGTTAGTAGATAAACAAATACATACAAGCATACATTCAAGCAATAGAAACTTAACAGAACCAAAAAAAAAAAAAGAAATCAATTGATATTCTAATGATCAACTTTGGTTGTGTGCATTTTCTCTACAGCATACTTAACACATAGACAACTTCCAATCCTTTACCACAATGTTCAACTTTGTTCGATTATATTAAAAGAAAAAAAAAGAAGAAAAGAAAAAATCTATAAAATAAATGCCTTCAAGCGTAAGTGTTAAGTATTATGAATAAAGTCTTGAAATATATGTTTAAACACAAGTATATACCATAATGATAAGTATGTACTTACTAGATGTATTATTTAAGTAACTTTAAGTAAGATGCGTGTACTTTGTTGCTTTTCAAAAAAGTTTCCTAAAGACAAAAAAGCCAAATGAAAATCTAAGAATTAGTCAAATAATAACATACAGCATATTAAAGTAGGCTGAAAGTTATAAGTCCTACCATCTAGTCAAAAAAGAGATTTTCTTATACAATTAATTTTTTTTGATATTGTTTTTATATTGTTTATTACTTTTATGTTTGATTTACTGTGCCAAATGTTTTCTTATCTATTGATTAAATATTCTCATCTGTTATTACAATGCGATCTGTGTGCATTTTTATTTTTCTCCTTACTCGAAACGTAAACAAAGTAGATATGACAATCTGTGAAATGTATTTTGTGCTATATTCACTTTCACTTCTCTCTAATTTCTAAAGAAACTGCAAAAACTCAGCGGCTCCAGCACTTTATTCGAATACTCTGCGTTGTGATTGTTCATTAAGTGTACGAGTATGTAATAATATACTACATACAACTACACACAAATACAAATACATATACATATACGGTTACATCATGTTTCGTATATGATATGATGCATACCATACTACATACATACATGTTTGTACAAATCTGTATATACATAAACCTAACGAAAGCTGGATCTGCACGCGCTCATGGGCCACTGACTTATTTTTAGCTCAAAACTCAAACTCAAACTCAAACAAAGTGAATTAACAATATAAAACTCGATTAGTTAAGATTTAAATGTACTTATGTATGGAGTATGTTTACACTAACATATATATATATGTGTTATATATGTGCAGACATCACTTTCTAACAATAATTTTACAATACGAACAACAATTACCAAATGCGCGAGTACATACAAGTATATGAAAAATAAAAGACAACTGAATTACTTCGAGATACAATACAAAAAAAACTTTATGAAATTGAAAACGATTGATAATAGCTCTTAGACATATCAATTTAATTTAAACAAAATGAAAAGCATTCAATATACATAATAAGAACAGAAAACATTATGTAAATTTCTATGGATGATTGAATTCCTGTTTAGCGCATAAGTGACAATTTTAGGCGAATTGCCGACATAGCAAAATGCATATGTATCTATGAAGGGCATACATCATTATATGGGTCGAACTGTCGAACTATCTATCTGTTAATGTATTGATTTGTTGAGCACCTTTCAGTTGAGATCTCTGAGTATTTAGACTGATCATTTATTTGAATGTTTAAATCTTGCTTTGATAATTAGACACTAGAATCAAGATAAATGCAATTTCAATCAATCAATTTCTTATAGAAAACCTATTTTCCAAATTTATGTGCCAATCATCAAGATCAGTTTCAGTTCAGGCCAATATATATGATTGCATGCAGATATTAGATGCATAGCAGCGTTCTTTACAGCTCAGTATTAACGACATCCACGATCGATAGATATGGGAGCAGTTGGGAGTATATCCCGATTCTCTAGCTCATCGCCGAGCAGTACGAATATAGAATGAAAGTACCATATACAAGTACACAACTCTCAGACGTAAGTTTTAACTGTAATATGCAAATCTTTTATAAACAAAGAAACTGTTACTTTATGGCATTAGTTGAGATGCTATAACCTCTTGTTGAACGTAAATTGTACTTAGCATGTAAATTCTCTAAAATGATACAAAATATGCAGACACACATATTTATATTGTACTAATATAATTGATATACATAGTAAGAAATATTTTACGGTACATACATATACATATGTATGTGTACAAATGCATAAGTGTAAACATAAATGTTTTCATGGTTGTAACTGATGATCAAAAATAGTTGTAAATTGTAATGAAAGGCAAACGGATTTTACATGCTATCATTTATTGCAAAACTGCTTTAACTTTGCTTTACATTATTGGGTACCTAATAATAACCAATGCAAATTTAAACATTTTTTGTTTTCTGTCAACGAAACTCAATCGAAACCGGAAACGAAAAGATAATTACGATATTTGTTTCTTATACACATGCAATAAATTCTTTACACCTATGTTCGGTATCAAATTGATTAACGCAACGATATTTGAGAATCATGAATATTCCCTCCAGATAATTTTTAAAATTATGTATCGCTAAAATGGTCAAAAAGGTTCGACTTTTGACTGCATCTCTGATAATTATAATGGAATGAAAAGTTTTTAGCATATTGAAGCAACTATCTAATAATGATGGTATATTGTATTTAGCATGATGTTACCAGTTATATATTTAACATTCAAATAATTATGATTATTATGATTATTGTGTATTGTATGTGTATGTGTAACGTATGTTGTACATGTAAACTCCTAAAAAACAAAAAGAAAACAACAAAAAAAAAAACACAAAAAAAAAAACAAAAAATGTGGCTCTTGCCATTAAATTGTAGTCAATTCTTCGAATGCATTAGGCTAAGTGAACAAAAAAAAAAAAAAACAAACAAACAAAAACCAAATGAAATGAAATATAAAACAACAAAATGTATGAAAGCATTAATTGTAGACCGTCAAGAGAATGACGACAATGATGATGATGATGATGATATATGGACACTATTTTCTAAAAATATTACAACAATAATTTATTGATTTGTTGGCAATTTTATACATACATACAATACATATGTATACATATATACACAGTTACTTTTGTTAGCTAGCAAAACGACAACGACAACTTAGGTAGCGATGAGGTAGTTAAACTTTATGAATGTTGTACCCAATGCCCAAGTCCGGTACACCCACTAGAGAAATCTGTACAGTCAAGCACCCTGCCTCACAGACGGACGATTCACGATGCACGCATGAGCTGGTATCGTCTCCAATACCGTTACCTACCTAGTTAGCAATGTCCACTCTCTCCTTAGACAAAACTACACACACATACATACACCCAGAACAAACATAAACACACACACACATACACACACACTCTGTATCTGTTTCTCTCTATCTATCTTACAATTTGTTGTATTCGTTGTACTCTGCCATTTTTGGTGTGATATTCTATTGGTTGTGCGACTGTTTTAAAGTCGTTATACACATTGTTGCATTTCTACAAAAAACGAAACTGAAATTAAAGTTTGTAATAGGTTCAACTTCAATTTCCTGTTGCTTTAGTTGTATGTACTTATATAATGTTTATATGTATATTAGGTTTTTATTTGTATACGTTTTACTGTGCAAACAAACTGTAGCAATTTGTTAACTATTTTAGTCCATATGTTACATACCTTTAGGTTTAAGCACTTGTAATTTAATCAAAAATCATTTGAGCAACCTTAATGGAAATGAAGTAAACTTACAAAACAAAAAAAAAAAACCTAGTAAAAAATATTTAAAAATGGAAACACAAATAAACTGATGGTCAAAAAAAAAAAAAAAAAAAACAAATGATTTAAGTGTTTTTCTCGTTATTTTAACGGTCATAAGAAAATATTGCATATTTTATTTTTTTCAGGTCTTAGAATTGGTTTGGAAATTGGCTAAGAAAGCTAAGCCAAGCCAGGCACCAGCTGAATGTAAGCTTTTGCCATTTTTGCTGCGCTCTGTTTGCCATTTTTCAGCCATTTGCGCTCTCATCTCGCTGCTCAGACTCTCCTCTCACTCACGCTGTTAGCTTTGTCGGTGTCCTTTGCTTTCGCTTTCGCACTCGTTTATTTAGTTCAGTGTGTTTAGTTGCGTTCTGACATTATATCCTGTCGTTAACGCTGTCGTCCTCGTCATTCTCACAGTCGCTGTTGTCCTCCTGCCGCCGCGCACCGCGCTTACCTGACATATTCGCAGTTCGACTTTGAGTGCAATTGGGGGTCGCCTGAAGTCAAATAACACAAATAACATATAACAAATAACAAATACCAATTATACCCAAATCGGCTGTGTAATAGTTAACTATTGTATCAGTGATAGACACAAATATATATATACATATATATAATACATATATATATGTATTAGGTGAAGCTAAATCACCAAACGGAGCTTACGCCCAGTATTTTTTGGTGCATCCCACCCCGGTCCGGTCCGCAAATTAACGTTTTCGCAGTGCGTCCGGTTTAAACGGCTTCAAAATTAACTACTCAAAGTACCATCACAACGCTATGTCCCTTTCGGCCATAGCCAAGGTAAGTTCGTCCAGTCCAGCGCTGAATGGCGCTAAAAATTTGTGGCTCGCTTCTACAAAAAAGAATCCTTGCTGAAAACTCACTCATACTACACGAACAGACGCTGACTGCCACTGGTTTGAGTCAAACTCATACTGCCAGCGAGCGTTTGCCGCACATGCGTGCAACCGAAAGCTTTTTTCGCTAGCGTACACACAGCACGAAATGGCGATAACAGTGTTGCCAGGTTATTGTGATGCCTGCGACAAATTGGAATTTGCATGTGACTGTGAGAGGACTCGACAGCCCCGCCGGTCATGTTTAACTCAAACTACAGTGTGTCTTGTGTCGCTCGTCGGAGCAACCCCTAAAAGCGCACCCCAGCGAAACTTGTGAGCCATTTTGTGGTGCGCTCGCGCTGACTCTTGAGCGCGCTGCTGTCGATGTCGATGTCGAGGCGATGGCGAAGGCGACGGCGACGGCGAATGTCCTTGGCGAGTCATACTGGGTTGCTTTTGCTTGACAGCAACCAGGACAGCGTCAACTTGGTTAAGGTTAATGCCCCTAGCCGACCTTGATGTATGTACGACACACTTCGGGGCTCGGCGCCGACTCGGCCCGGCCTACTGTTGGCTCCCTGTCTTCTCACATGGATACCACCGACTTTACTTTCACACGGGTTCAACGAACTTTTAGGCATGTGTTTGGGAGTGTAGACCGACGCTTCTTCCCGGAATTGGGCTGCTTTTTGGCCGAACGAAATAGGGTCCTCGCTATATATACACATTTATATATATATATATATATATATATATATATGTGCATATACACATTGTCAGAGGCCATTGCCTTTTATTACTGTTGCTCTGCACATTCTGGTTTTTCGTACAGGCGGTCAGTGTGTGTATAACTTTCTTAACGTTTGCAGCAGCAGCAGCAATTAACGCGAGGACCTCATGAATCATGTGGGTATAAACGGAAAAAACAGTTTGTGCTAATTATAATTAAGCAGACAAGTTCTGCTTGATAGTTTTTATAATTAATTCAAAAGCTTTTCATTTCTATGAACCTCATTTTATTAAAATGTAAACTATTATTATTTAGAGACCGGTGGCTTCTGCAACTATGTTAAAAGCTATATATCCAGTTGAAAACTTATATACAACAATTACTTAAATTTAAATAGTAATTAAATTTAATATGCATTCGGTATTGCATACTTTTAGGCTAACTTATGAAAAAATCCCAAAGTTAAAAAACTGAAACTACTCTTTATTCGAGAGAATACCAATTTAATTTTGTATTTTGTGAGCATTCGAAGTTTGCCTTACAAAATGTATTCATTTATGTGTACGTATGCATAATATAAAATATGTAAGTGAAAATCAATTTCATTTATCGTTAGTGTGACCACAAACTATCGATTAAAAAAGGGGAACTGTTCTCAATTATTTTTCGTCTATTGCAAAACTGTAAATCAGACATGATACATATTTTTCCTTAATCCGGGGTCCATATTCAAAAATGATTTAATTGTATTTAACAAAATCAACTTTACACATATTGCCATAAACATAAAGATATGTTGACGACATTAAAGCAATGAATTGTATCCAGTATTAAGACAAATAACTGCTGAAAATTGAATAGGAAAAGATTTTCAACTCTAGAACAAATGGAGTCTCTCCTCATATTTATATATCTTTTATCAGCACCTACTACGACTAAAAAAACAAAGTCATAAATTTAACAGCAGCAGAAGAAACAACAATCAAATTTGCAAACTTACTGCTGAGCAACTGGTTTGACCAGATTAACTCTTAAAATATGCTGCTCTTCTGAAGAGTTTGTGTTGTTTTGTCTGTACTCGTTATCAGTAGCAACCTGTTCTGTTCTGTACTATGTGCTCAGCTCACAGTATTTATTCAAATGAAACACATTTCACAATAAAAATGAGTCCGAAACGGCAATATGCTGGCTGAGGGATTCATTTTGCCGTCAGCAATCTGAATAAAATGTCGACTAACGCAAATGTTTCCATCGATACACAGCCAATACTCTATTCGTATTGGCGCAGCTCGTGCTCCTGGCGCGTTCGAATTGCGATGAATCTGAAGGAGATACCCTACGACATCAAGCCCATCAGTCTGATCAAGTCGGGCGGCGAGCAGCACTGCAATGAGTACCGTGAGGTTAATCCTATGGAACAGGTGCCGGCACTGCAAATTGGTGAGCATATCCAAATCATATTCTAAGAATGAGAGTTGCTAACATTTGGTTTTATTCAGATGGACATACATTGATCGAGTCGGTGGCCATTATGCACTATCTGGAGGAGACACGCCCCCAGCGTCCACTGCTGCCACAAGATGTGCACAAGCGGGCAAAAGTGCGTGAAATAATTGAGATAATTTGCTCGGGCATTCAGCCACTGCAAAACCTGATCGTCCTCATCCATGTGGGGGAGGAAAAGAAGAAGGAATGGGCCCAGCATTGGATAACACGTGGTTTTCGTGCCGTGGAGAAGGCACTCTCCACCTCGGCTGGCAAATACTGTGTGGGCGATGAAATCTCAATGGCTGATTGCTGCCTTGTGCCGCAGGTTTTCAATGCCAGAAGGTAAATTTGCATGTTTTTTTTTTAATCAAGATGAAAATTGTTCATAACTTATACTATGTTGCATAGATTCCATGTGGACTTGCGCCCATATCCCATCATATTGCGCATTGATCGCGAACTGGAGAGCAACCCAGCATTCCGTGCTGCTCATCCCTCCAATCAGCCGGACTGTCCACCGGAGCTGCCCAACAAATAGAATTTTCCGACGACAACTGCAAAGCGCCGTAAAACAAAAAAGTGAATTGCAGTTCGTAAAAAGAAAACATTAAGAAAATTCAATCGTGAGGAGACAACAAATTATTTGGAGCTGAAGCGCTAGCTGAAGAGGCGGAAATTCCATTGATAGATACAGTCGGATGTGATTTAAAAAATTGCTAACAGCATTTAACTATGCATAAATGCATAAAAATACTATCGATAAAAAATAAAATTTTGAGTGGCATGCAAAGTAACAATATAAATTATTATCAAGAAAATATTATCATTTCCCTCAGTTTTTAATGTGAAAAATTATCTAAAAGATGAACACATATATAAAAAAAAAAAAGGAAAACATATTTTTATGAATTTTATTTAGGCTAACAGAAAGACAACAAATTTCAAGGAAAAACTCATGACGAAAAGCAAAATTTAATTCAGGGATTTAAGGAAACAAAAATAGTATTAGTGCATATATACATATTCTATAAACCAAATGCGCAAATGTATTTCCATATACAATCATAAGTAAGAAAGTTGGGCGCTTAACAAAGTAACTTTTTGAAAAGTACAAAACTTCAGTCAAAGAGGTAGTAAACTCCACTAGCAGGCATTCTGATTATAAAATATTCAACAACAACAAAAAAGAAACACATAACTATTTAAGTAAAGAACAAAATATACATAATAACATTAAATACTTACCATACCTTAGGCATTAAATCGGGGTCTATTACCATGGACACCAGAGATCTTATGTGACCATATTTAAGCGAATGAATCGTTCGTTGCTACCAAAAAAACATTATATGTGAACAAATTAAATGTAAAAATTAGTATTCTCTTAATTAAAGGCACAAAACTAAATGACAACTCAAACAATCGTATGCATAGTAGACATGTATGTAATAAGTTGATTACAGGTTTCTAGAAATCCATTGTAGTCCCATTTAATGCACTCGCAAGAAGTCAACATCCGATCATAACAACAGTTTATACTGTACCATTAAACGAACTGCCTGATTTCGCAAACAAACCGACTAAATACATATACTATGCTAATATCCAAAATAATGTAACAGTTCCAAATATTAACTACATATTAAAAAAATAAACTTCTAACTAAACTTACTCGATTCTGCTAGTTTCTCAAGGCCATAGTTATTTTACCCTTATTTTGTTGCATAATTTGTGCGGTATTTATAATTTATACAGTGCACGAAGGTGTAGGTGATATCGATAGTGCTATTCAATAATCGCTTAAGGGTGCAGCTCCAGAATCCAGCATTCCGTTTAACAGACTTAATACTTCCACAAGGAACAACACATACAACAGACTCGTTCACATTACAAACTCCTTTTATGCTAACGATCGAATCATCATCACCAGAAGCTGTTTAAATATCTGGTAATCTGTTTGGCACAGCTGCTGACTAATAAGAGACATCAGCTGTTTGCAGTGGGTGCAAAGTGCAATCCAAGATGAGTGCATTGACAAAGCCAGCAGATCATTTTCCAAGTTCTGACGATGCAAAGCCAGTGCTATACTCCTCCTGCATGAGCTCTTGCTCTTGGCGAGTGCGTATTGCATTGGGACTGAAGGGAATACCATACGACATCAAAACGGATTGCAAGTCCAGTGAGTATAAGGAAGTAAACCCCATGCAACAGGTACCTGCTCTTTGTATCGGTGAGTAACGGAAGTATCACAAACCAGCATTCCAATTGGTAATTTGAAGCTTTTTAACTCGTCATTTTTAGATGGCCATACCCTCTGTGATTCCGTAGCCATTATGCAGTACCTAGATGAGACACGCCCACAACATCCCCTTCTGCCACAGGATCCGTATAAGCGTGCCAAGGTGCTACAGATTGTACATATCATTTGCTCCGGCATTCAGCCGCTGCAGAACACTTGTGTATTGGCTCGTGTGGGCGAAGAGGAAAGCTTGGAGTGGGCTCAGCATTGGATATCACGTGGATTTGATGCTCTGGAAAAGGTGCTGTCTGAATCGTCCGGTAAATTCTGTATGGGGGATGAAATTTCCATGGCTGATTGCTGCCTTGTTCCACAGGTGTTTAATGCCCGAAGGTGAGTTTATTTTCATCGTTATTGATATAGCAAATCAAAGCCACATAAATCCTTTCGCAGGTACCAAATTAACTTGGATCTCTATCCAACGATCCAAAGACTCGATCACGGTTTGGGAACAAATACTACGATTCGTGCTTGCCATCCATATAATCAACCCGACTATCTACAAAAATGAGCAAATTAAGCAAATATTAATAATTAAAAGGTTTATCATACTTTGTGATGAATTCCTGACAGTTTTTATGGAAAAATATTAAAATCAAATTATATCTGTTGCTGAAAATAAATATGAACATATTGAATGAAAAACTAGAATTAGGTAAATTAAAATCGCAAATCTAAAGGACAACTCGAAAAAAAATGTGCATAGTACATATATATGTAATAAGTTGATTACAGGTTTCAAGGATAATCCATTGTAGTCCAATTTGAAACATTCGTGAGTCCAAGAGCGAGTCGACCTCCTATCATTACCACAAACCGACTAAATATACATCCTATTTATATATCCAAAATACTGAAACAATTTCAGATATTAACTACATTTTCAAAAAGTAAAGTTCTAACTAAACTTGATCGATTTTGCTAGTTTGTTGCATACTTTGAGGGATATTTATAATTACACTATGCGCGATATGTAGGTGATATCGATAGTGCTATTCAATAATCGCTTAAGGGTGATAATCGCTCCAGAATCCAGCATTCCATTTAATAAACATAATACTTGTGCTAATGAAACGCTTCTATTGCACAATATAGCGTCGATATAGTGATCATTGCCAACTTCTTTTATTCTAACGATCAAATCATCATTTTCAGTAGATATCTCCAGTAGACTATCTCTGGCAACCTGTTTTGTACCACTGCTGACTGATAAGAGATAAAGTTTGTTTATATTACGCAACAAAATGAGTGCGTTAAGAAAATCAACTATAAGTTTACTGAATCTGGCTGGAAATGGGACACGCAGGTTAAGTTCGAGCGATGCAAAACCAGTGCTCTACTCGTACTACGCCAGCTCTTGTGCATGGCGGGTGCGAATTGCATTGGGATTGAAGGGTATACCATATGAAATCAAAGCAACCCATCTTTTTGAACCAAATGCTCCACTATACAGCAATTCGAGTGAGTATCAGGAAATAAACCCAACGCAACTGGTACCTGCTCTAAAAATTGGTGAGTATTGGCCTCTTTCCAGTTGATAATTTTAAATTATTTAATTGCCTCTATTTAGATGGCCAAATACTCTGTGATTCCGTGGCCATTATGCACTACCTGGAACAAACAAAACCCCAGCAACCTCTTCTGCCACAGGATCCGTTTAAGCGTGCCAAGGTGCTACAGATTGTGCAAATCATTTGCTCCGGCATTCAGCCGCTGCAAAATGCCAGCGTATTGGACCGTGTGGGCAAAAAAAATAGCTTGGAGTGGGCTCAGTATTGGATATCAAGCCGTTTTGCTGGTCTGGAGAAGGTGCTCTCTGCATCGTCCGGTAAATTCTGTGTTGGGGATGAAATTTCCATGGCTGATTGCTGCCTTGTTCCACAGGTGTTTAATGCCAGAAGGTGAGCCTCAATACATATCATTCTTAGCACAATATGTAAAAATCACATTCACTCCATTTGATTACTTTCTCAGGTTCCGAGTTAACTTGAATCCCTTTCCCACGATAGTAAAACTCGATGACAGTTTTGGAACACAATCAGCTGTTCGTGCCTCTCATCCTTATAATCAACCCGACTGTCCACCAGAGCTGGCAAATAAACAAAAGATTAGTAAATGAAAATAGCTCGTGTCGAATTCAAAATAAATGTGGAAATATGTCGATGATTTTGATGTATATTTAAAACGAAGTTTCATATTTAGTCGTATCCACGAGGCTTGTTTTTGATTAGTCCGTCCTCTGCAAATGCTTACAGGCTGATAAATATGCAGAAATTCTGCAAACGTTAAGTTGCTAAAATATTCCTTACCCTCAAACATTAAGGGGCATATTTTTGAGGCCTCTGATTTCTAATGGACTTCTGCAAAATGGGAATGCGAAATCAAAGAAAACGGAATACTTTTAATATAATCTTTATTATTTTATGTTTTTTTTTGTTTTTATTTTTATATAATCTTTCTTAAATGTGTAATTCATGTTATATGTGTATTTTATAACTCTTTATGTTCCTTGACTTGGATTTTCACTTTACAATTAGTTCGGTTTTTTTTCTTAACGGATCTTCTAACTTCTCATTATAATGTGTGACATTTGTTGTGTGCATTTGCTGGTGTTCCACTTTATGGATGCATGTTAATATGTATGTATATGTATGTACTCAACAAATTTCACTATAAATACTATTACATACGTATGTGAACTAACTTCATAACATTACCATTAGCATTATGTTCAGTATAATGTCTAATATCGGTACATCTGTCCTAACTAGCTTAGTATTTGCTTTCTGTTTATTGTTTCCAGCCTGCCTGCCGCATCTTTTGCTCTATATCGCACTGATCGTAAAGAGTTTGTTGCATTTTGTATTCTTTGCGGGTATGATCCCCTTGGATTATATGTACTATGCATTTGTATATATGTAATTATATGTAGAGAGGGATAACTGTTTGTTGTATACTTTTTGGTTTTTGGGCGAGCCAGTCGACGAGGCGCCTCTTGCCAAATTGTACAAGATTGGTTTTATTATACGAGTAGTTGCAAAAATTACGTGTTTCTTTTAAAATTTGAATGAGCTACATTTCCTTTTGATTTTTGTTATTTAACATTTTTACTAGACTATTTGTATTTTTCTTTCTTTTTTTAATGTTTTCCATTTTCCAAAAAGAATGTAGTATGCACGTTGCGAAATGAAATTTTTGCTTAGTTGTTGTTTTTTTGTTTACTTTTTTTTTTTAAATTGAGTGTGAAATATTTTCCTTGTTTTTCAATTTCAAAATAATAGATACATATATGTTTATAAAACCTTCTGCTTCGCTAGCTGAACCTCATCTTTATAAAACTTCAATTGATTATAAATTTGTAATAGAGCATAACTAAATATCATCTATTTGTTTTTGTTTTTGTTTTTTCAATTTGTTATTTTTAATATATTTATTGTATTTAATTAATAATGAAGTTTTTTGTTTGTTGTTATTTTCTCTATACTTTCTCTCGATATTTTCTTGCTAAAATTTCATTAAATATTTTGCTAATATGTATAAGTAAAACTTTTATATTTCTCAGATTTTTTGTTTTTTTTTTTTTTGGTTTTGTGTTCTTTTTTTCTTCTCTTTTTGTTTATTTATTTTTTCTTTTGCAGTAAGTAAATACATACTTATTATCGCTATTTTAACAACATATTCTAGGTCGTACATGGTGTTCCATTATGAGCACATACCAACGAATATTCTTTGCTACTTATTGGATTTGTTAAAGAGCCGCCATAGATTGCACCTACATTAATTGTTAATGTTACATTTGCGTGTATACATACATTCAATTTATACATACTCTATTATACAATTCATTTGTTAATTCATTCACTTCATTTCATTTTTGTCATTATTTTTTTTATCACAGTCAAATCATAAAAGATTTAGTACTTTTACTTTTGAATGAGTTTCCATGATGTTTTGCTTGCTTGAATGTTCTGCGATTACGAGCTTTCCGAATGACCATCGTTCAATTGAGGTTTCCGCTTAAAATTTTAAAATTGTATACTAATATTAAGACTTCGTTTCTTCGATTTCGTAAAGTGCAACTGAGTTTCGACATTTTTTGTGTGAGAGTATTTGTTCTTATCTTTTGTTTTGTTTTTCTTTTCTTTTTCTTTTTCTTTTGTTTTTTTTTTTTTGTTTCTTTTCTTTTTTTGTTCTCTTTTGTCATAATTGGATTATGCATGTAAGTAAGTAGTTGACTTGCCTAAGAAATGTTGAGAAAATGGTAAGTTTTCAAATTTATTTATATTTGGTGTTTTGCTGTTGTTAATGTAAAATTTAGTGGCTTGTATAAAAGCTTCAACAGAAATCCTGCACGTCGTTTTGTACTTTAGCAAATTGTTGCTATTATAAACAATTGCAATAATCGTAAGTTTAAGTACACAACGTGAAGGCAACGTTATAACTTTGTATTTATTATTAGATTTGTTTTTTTTTTTTGTTTTTCATCCTAAGGTACTCACGTATGCTTCTACTATCTTAGGTTGCCATTTGTTGAAGACTACTACATTATTTATATGAGAAAAACAAAAGTATTGATTATACACAAGATTTTACTTTTGGCATCACTACTGACTGATACTATGTAATTTCAAAGATGGCTAGTATCTTGGACAAACGTTATCTTCTATTAAAAATAAAATTGTTGAAGGTATCGCCTGACTGTGACTGTGTTCAATGAATTTTTAAATATGTTGTATCAACTTTTGTGAATGCAAAGAAAATCATTTAGTTTTCCTTTAAATTATTGAAAGATTTGTATTTTTTTTGTTTTTGTTTGACACGATGTATTTATTTAAGAGTTGTGTAAGTTAATCTCACGAATCTGACTAAAGCTTAAGATGGCTATAAACTTAAAAACATTGAATGCAAAGCTGCTTTTTTGGAAAACAAAATCCGATGCTGGCAAATAAATGTTGCAAGGATTTGTGCTGAGTTGAACATGCCGCTGAAGGAGTCCAGTGGAAAGTGGAACTCAGCACAGCCCCGTTTTGTTGATTGTTTTGTATCATCGTTAAGCCTTTTATTTATATGAATATATGTATGTATGAATTAATTAATAATAATTGTATGTATCACGCTAACAACTAGTTTTATATAGTATGTATGCATTTATTGTATGTATATATATTTTAAATATAATTTGTTAAATATTTTAATAAGTTGTGTGTGGTTTTTGATGTTGAATGAACTTGTAGACGGCTTCTCTTGTTATTGTTGTTGCCAATATATATGTATGTATGGATGTAGGTATGTATGTATGTGAATATGCGCCTATTTACACATAATGGCGAGTGTGGGCATGTACATATGTATGTATGTCTGAATATGTATGTATGCATATACATATCCCACGCATTTTTCTCTCTCTCTCTCTCTCTCTCTCTCTCGTATAGAATGACTTCATTAAACTGACAATTGATTGAAATCGCCTTGCGTATCATAATACGTAATTTAAATCATTTTTGCAGTGATCGAGTCTTGCCACAAGATTTACAATGCATGATTTTCACTTGCCAAAATGATGTTGGTTAAGCCTTTGTGAATCTGTTCATCGTTATGTATTTCTGTACATAGATTTATGTTTGTATATATGTTAATATGCATTTAATTGTTTAATTGTCCTAATAACAGTGTGGAGGCAAAGCATAACAAATTATAAGTAACAATTTCTTTTAGTTTTCATATACTATATATGTATATAAGTATTTATGTATTTTTCTTTACCATACAAAACAAAAACAAAACTGATTTGATTGATAAATTTAACTTCATTTTTATATCCACTTATCAATTAATTATTTTTTATTGTAGTTTATTTTATTTTATAATTTTTTACAGAGCAAAAATTGCGGTTTAATTTGTAATTTGTTTATTCCGTTTCATTTTAGTACTTGCGCTTTTGCTGCATCTTATTGTTTTTAATCATTTAAGTCAAGTTTGAAATATTTTAAATACGCAAATATATATATATAGTTAATAAAACTTTTTGTTTTTTATTTTTTCTTCTGCTTTTTATTTGCACTAGTTTAACTCTAATAGACTCCGTCGCTGAAATAACAGCATTATATATTTAATTATTAAAAAACTTGAATAAAACTTGCAAATTAAAATATGCGTACGCCTTTCCAAAGTTTATTCAGATGAGGTTTCGTGTACTTAGCCAATGTGGTGACTTGTGCTGGGTGGCGGGGAGGCGAAGGCGGAGGCGTTTTATTTTTTTTTTTAAATGGTGATTGTAGCTATGAGAAATGTGACCAATGATTAATTGGTAAAACATCGAATTGATTTTTGATCGGGCCATCGATTTTTCGAATTTATTTAAAGCAACTAGCATAATCTTGGATATAACCAGATGTATTAAATATGATTTCTGTATAATAAGAGCTGGCTTTTTGTACAGCGAAAAAAAAAACACAAAATAAAATCCAAACAAGCATAAACACGTCGACTGTCGGGGCCGGAACCCCGAGCAACTGGACCCAGAGCAGAGAATTTTGTCTTCTTTTTCGTCACATACACAGGCGATGTTGCATCGGTCGGCATGTTGGCATGTGGCATGGACATGGGCGTTGCATATAACGCAAGAAACGCGGGTTGTGATTTTAATTTGAATTTGGTGACAAGAACAAACATTCGGACATTCGGAGTGGCAACAACTCGCTGAGACAAATGACAAAAATGTCATGCTGCGTTAGTTGATTTTGTTGTTTTGCTTCTGAAGAAAAGCTTTTCGTCATTTCAGAAAAAATTAATTATTTCATAATTAATTTCATGTTTCGTTCTACTCGATATTTATATACATATATGTATACATATATATCTTATGTTTTCTTTTTTTTTTTTTTGTTTTTGCTTGTGTTTTCTCTTTTTTAAATACATATCACAGATCCAGTACAAATATATTTATAATATTTGTTTTTTTTTTATTCTCTCTACTTTAACTTTAGATACCGTATAAAACTCATACATTAAACATAACTCAGTGAGCTCACGCATATGATAATATTTAGTATGACCAATGTGTATTATGCATGGTGTATCTATGTATGCATGTATTTAGGTGTAGGTGTGCATATGTAGGTGTGTGTGTGTGGTGTGTGTGTGTGTGTTTATGGGGAAGGGAACGGGGCGGTAACTGTGAATGTGCCATGTGCCATATGCATATTGTCTGTCTGTCTGTCTGACTGTCTATGTATGTATGTGGATGGCTCCTTTGCTCTTCTCTGGTTTGCCATGACAAAAAAGACGAGAAAATGTACTTATTTTTTTTGTGGTTATTTGTTGTTTGGTTGTATTTTTTGTTTGGGGTCAGGGGTTCAGTGTCTTATGCTTGTTCTGATTTGGGTGGAATCGAGCACTTTGTTGAAAAGTTACTGAATCGCGGTTTGTTTGTGGCTGTAGTAATGTATATGATATCGTTGTTTTCATATTTCTTAATTTGCATTTTTCTTCGGCTATATTTGACGGTCTATTACTATTTTTTTGTTTTTTAAATTTACCAGCACTCTGTACGCCTTGTATCTCTTTCTGACAATTTTAAATTATATATAAAATAATTATTCATAATAATTATAATAATAGATAATGAAAACACAAAAATCTCCGACCATTTTCATTTTTTTTGTTTTGATTTTTGTTTTTTTTTTTTGTTTTTTTTTTTGCATATTTCAAGGCACACTAGCATTTACGACTGTACTTTCAATATTACTTTAATTTTGGTTTTGTTTGACTTAAAATGTTTGTTGTTTAACTTCATTTATGTCAACGCTTCTTAAAGCATTTTACTTTTGTCACAATTTGGATTTGAAGAATATTGTAACTATTTAACTCTTCTGGCGCAGGTTTATTATAATTCTTATATTATTTATATAAATATTGCACAAATAAGAACAGATGTAGGTCAGCTTTAACAATAATAGCAAGAAAAAAAGAAATAATAATGTGAACAACTTTTCAACTTATATTTATAGACTTAGCTTAGGATTGGGTTTTTATTTATAATTTCGTGAGCGTTTTCAGTGATTGTATTAAAATTGAGTTGAATTTGAATTTGAAATTGAAATTGATATCGAGCGTAGCTGAGAGTTTGATTGATTGACTGACTGACTGTTGATTTGACATGATAATGTTGCAGAATTGTTTAGAGTTCGCTGTTAGTGGAGCGGTGGTTGTGAGTGGTGATTGATAGGTGCTTTCAATTAAACACATTTGTGTGTTGGTTGTTTTTCGTAATATTCATAATTTATTTAAGCTTTGTATCATTATTTTGATTTTATTTATCATAAAAAGAAACTTTAAACTTAAAACTGCGTTGGCCACAAAGTAAAACAATAAATTTCTTTACATTTTAATCATTTCTATCCATGTGTGTGTGTGTGTGTATGTGTGTATATTTCTATGAATTAAACAAATTCAAATGTGATGTAAACATAACTCTTTTTGTTTTTTTTTTTTTTGTTTTTCAATGTTCGGCTTGTTGTCTGTGGTAAATGTATATAAATGTGAATTAATGTACATAGTGTCGAGTTCAAATGTATCCAAAATAATAATGTTTACTAATTGCACAATACTTAACAATTAATAGGGGTTTATTGGCCGCATGTAGACTTGTGTTTGTGTGTGTGTGTGGATATGTTTATTTTACAGAGAAACATGAGTTTCTATTTTAAATTTAAATTAGAATTGTGATGCATTAGGTGAAAAAAAGAGAAAATGTAATACTTAAGATTAGAATGTATGTATGTCAAAATAATGGTGCAAAGTTTCCAAAACAAAAAGAAATTATGATGATTCTAAAAAAGAAACCAAAAGTTTTTATTCTATTGGACCAATAATATAAAAAAAAAATCGAAAAAAGAAGACAAAGGTGCAGTTTCAAACGAGAAACTTAAAACGAATTTCTTTTCTCTTTTTTTAAGAGGAGACGTTTAGAACAAATGAGGATTAACAAATCGGGAGCATAAAATCAATACCAAAAAGGAGACTCACGTGCGCGGGCAACACATTAACACCACTTGTTTGTTTAATTCAATTTGTTTTCTTTTCTATCTTTTTTTTTTTTTTTTTTTTTGTACCACTCTCACGAAAATTAAACAACATTATCATGATCAACATTTTGTAACAATATATCATAATAGAACATTGGGGGGGGGGGCTTAAAAAACGTAATATTTAATATACATATATGTGTGTGTATATATATACATATTTAAACATAGCAATAAGCACATAAGGGCAACAACAGAAAACAGAAACAAAAAACAAGAAACGCAATCAGTTTTTGTGTGTGTGTGTGTGTGTGTGTGTGTGTGTTGAGGTAAAAAGTGTATCAAATAGTTTATATCACTAGCCGGTCAAGCGTTCGTTTTAGCAATTTAACGCCATTATTGTATATAGTTGTACATATTGTTATATGTACATATATATAGTATATATGCAATGCATGTGTGTATTTGTATTTGTATTTGTATTTTTTTATGTGTGTGTGTGTGTGTGTGTGTGTGTGTAGTAAAATATTTACCTTATTTGGACACCATTTTGTCAAATCACCTGAAGTTTTCACTGAAAACGCTCGCATTACACAAACAAATCCATTTCTTTAGGCTCAACATAATGCTATTTAACGTGTTTGAATAGTGTGTATATATATCTATATATATATATATATATATAAACATATAAATATGTGCATTTCTGTGTGTGTATGTGTGTGTGTTTTATGTGTATTATAAACAAGACTCAACAATTAGTGTGTAGTACATAGTACATAAGCACACACATATCTATGTACATATGCACATGCATACACAACACACATACACACACATATATATACATATGCAGATATATACACACATATATATATATATATATATATATATATATATATTTGCAACAGTGTTATATCTATGATAAGTTTTCAGCTTGTCAGAGTGTCAAAAAGAAAAACACGCAAACATTTGACAACAACAAAATTAGGCAAGGACAATATTATTATTATGCCAGGTGTAACTCGATTTAAATTTAAAATTATGTAAACAAACCGTATATACACACACACATATAAATATATATATGTGCATATTTTACATACTATAAGTGTGGCAAACAAATGCAGCATTTTGATAGTAGTTGGTTTGTCTTACTGTCAAATCAAATTTGCTAAGGCTTTGAATTTCTTCTCGTTTTGCTTGGGCAATTATTTAATATTTATCAGAATGCCTTTTAAAATGTATATATTTATATATATATATATATGTATATATATATGTTGTGTGTGTGTGTGTGGGTGTTTTGTTTTTGTTTTAATGGCTACTGCTGATGTTATTCGTTTGAAATTAGACTTCTTTTTTGTTTGCATTTTGTTTGTTATGTTTTGCTTTAGATTTCTTAGCATTTTCGTTTTTTTTTCTTTTTTCTTTTTAAATTAATGAACATATTTTGTTGAGGAAATACGCTTGAATGGGGGGGTGTTTGGGGGTTCAGGGGTGGTAGGGTGGTAGGGGATGGTTGCTGTTGTTGTTGTTGTTGTTGTTTTTTGTTGTTGTGCTGCTTGCTTGATTGCTTGATTATTAATTCACAACAGTGGTTAATGGAATTTGACGGCCCTCTTTGTCTCCTCCTCGTTGATTTTCTGTTCAATTAGAAACTGCGCCTTGGCAATGGCATTCGGCTGACCAGTAATGGTAACAATGCGATTTCTAGTGCCAGGTGCGAAAATGCCCTTTTTGGAAATTTGCACATTAGCGCCAGAAACATGTTGAATTTCAACTAAACTACGACCGTTCGGACCTGGAATATTTGCATCAGATTATTTTAAATATTATATGGATATAGATTATATATTTGTGTGTGTGTGTGTGTATATATATATTAAGGTAATATGATGTGTAATTGTGTATATTTATATATGTTTATGTATATGTGGTATGTATAAACCAAGAGGTTAGCAAACCTATTGAGAGAAGCCTATTCTAAAATAAGAAAAACATAATCATTTGATCAACGGTTAAAAGGACTTAAGCCTAAACAATCTGACACTGAGGTAAAACCTGCAATAATAAACAAATAAAGAATAATAAACCCAATAATTGCACTACTCCAAATGTGTATTAATGTATTACTAGTTACAAAAATTCGTTATGCCTTCAACAAAATAGTAGTTATACGATTTTCAAGCTAATCAGAAGAAAAAGAACTAAATACTAACTAACTTAGTACTGCATGTACGCCTAACTGTTAACTGTTAGCCTAATTTATTAACTGCACTTTTGGACATTTTGGGGTGAGCGAATTTTCAACTTTTCGAAGGAATATGGCATATGGCAACATCTGTATGCATATATGTATTTATTATGGATCATGGATTGTGCTACATGTGTGTGGATGTGTGTGTGTGTGTGTGTGTGTTGTGAAGGGGCAAGAAGTTGACTAGAAATTTCGCTACATATTTATTACTATTATATCATTGAGAATGCTTTAAGGAATGCCTATGCAAATGGTTTAATCACTTGGAATGCCTGCTTTGTCTTTCTCTACAATCTCTACAACCTATAACTATATCTATGGCCTACAAATTAAGGAATGCAGGGGTAAACACAAAAACAGTTTAACGGGAGCGGCGAGGGGCAAATCGGTGCTGAAAAATGATTTAAAAGTGTTTATCTGGATCTGGTTGGTTGTTGTGGTTGTTGTTGGTTGGTTGGTTGGTTGGTTGTTTGGTTGGTTGGTTGGTTGGTTTGTTGGTTGTTTGTTTGTTTGTTGTTGCTGTTGTTGTTATTAATAATAATAGAAAGGTTGCCCACCTAGAACAGCGCCAATAATCACTTCAGGCACCTCAACATTCTTCGTATCCTTGGCGCCCAGATCACCGGGAGTGGGACTCTTACTCAGGCCACCTATCGAGGCAGCTGCACCCAATTGCGCACTGGTCACCGTCCCGGTGGCACCGGTCAGTCCGAAGCTGTTGTTATTCAACGAGACGGGCGTGGCCGCTGGCGCCCCAGCCGAGCCCAGATGCCGGAATGAATCGAATTGCACATCCAGTTGCGATTGCGTTGACTGCCGACTGGCCGCCGCATGGGCCGCAGCTGCAGCGGCGGCATACTCAAAGTTGACCTGGCCAACAGCACCGAACACATTGTTCGAGGCCGCTGAGGCTGCGGCCGCCGACTGCTGATCCAGTGTCGTCACGCCCAGATAGTTGCCCAACGTCGGATGCGCCCCATTGGCGTGTGGCACGCCCACGCCCATGCCGAGAACACCGTATTTCGCTAGGACACTCAGTGCGGCACAAACTTCAGTGGTGGCTGTCTCCGAGTAGCCAGCGCCCCGCATGGCAACCTACAATATGAATGTCAATATGAAGTCAGTTCAAATGGTAGATGGCAATGAGTAGGAGACGGTACCTTAATGTGCTCCAGCAGCTGATTGGCAACAGCTAGATTTGGCGCCGGATTTGGCGCGCCCAAATTGAGGGATAAGTTGATGCCGGTGCCATTGACCAAAAGACTGGCTGCGGTTGCCGCACCACCGATTGCAGTGCCCAGCGTGGAATTCAGCGAGGCGGTGCTTGAGTTAATGGCATTCTGATTGGTGGCATACGGTGAGCCGGTTGGATTGAAATTGGCAACGGGTCCATTCACATCCGCATAGGAGACATTCAAGCAGGTGCCCGACTGCGGATCCTCAACTATTTTCGATAGTATCATCTTGCAGGCGTTCTTATTGTTCTCCTTGTCGCCAATGATGGTGATGCAGCGCTCCTGCAGCGAGACATCCTTGGGCTTCTGCGAGATCTGCACATAGGAGCCGCTCTCCTCCTTGATCTGCTTGATGAAGGCGCCGCCCTTGCCAATGATCATGCCAGCCGTTGAATTGGGCACCAGTATTTTAACCTGCTTATCACGTTCCTGTGCCTGTTTCGACTCGGCATCAATGATTTTCGTGGTCAAGTCGGGTTTCTCCCGAATTTTGTCCATTATGAAATCCACCACGGTCATAATGCCCTCCACCGAACCGGTGATGAGGCAAACCCGCTCAGTAGTACCTGTTGGCGATAGTATCGATTAGCTAAATATTTTACAAAAATAATGCCTCTGTTACTTTTAATATCAGCTGGACTTAACTTTTTGAAAGTGAATTTCGAAAACGGACAGATCTCAGATATCAGTGTGTCAACCCGAAATTGGTATCGGAATCGGAACCGCAGGCTTATCGATTAAAATTCAGAATCGGTCTCGGAATCGAAGCATAAACTCACAATTTTTAAATAGCCAAGTCTATAGCTCTTTTAGTCTCAGCGATCCGTTTGTTCATACAGACATACGGATATAGTAAGATCGATGAAGAAAGAACGACTATTTTATACAGCCCGAAGACAATATACCCTTGCAGACCTCAATCTAGCTGCTAACACCTCCACTTCATTTACATTTTTTTGTTGCTTAAATTCAAAAAACTTTCCATAGAAACCTATTCGAATCTTTGCCAAAATTTGTATGCTTTACGGCATTGGAATAAGAATCTAAATTCGTTTCACTTACTACTAAATAAAAGATTTAAAAAGTAAGAAAATGTTCGGGGAAAATCTGAGAGCAGACTATATTTTATATTCAATATTTTAATACAAAAATTAATAAATTAAATGAAAGAGCTGTCTTCCAAATGGCAAAAAATTCCTGTCGGTTTAACAACGTGATTTGGATTGATTTTTTTATTGTCAAAGATAGCCTAAGTTTCATGAATTGTTAATAAATAAATACAGTTGGCTAAGATTTTAGGAAAATACATCTGAAGGTAAGCTTTATTTTTAACATTATCTTTACTCCGGAGGAGTAAATTTCATTTCGAAAAGAACTTGAGAGTATTTTTCTTTATTTTTCTCCTTTTTAATGAAGAAACTCACCTGGATAAAAGTCATGGGACTTGGACATCTTGACTCTAGCACCCGTGTCCTTTTGAAGGGAGGCGATCGTCTCGCCGCCTTTGCCAATGATGGCCCCGGAGGCCACCGCCGGCACCAGTATCTTCATGTGAAATGTGGTATCGCCTGCAAAAGTCAAAAAGATGTTCACAGGTCGGGCATTGATTAGTGTTCACATATTTTGTAGAGTAGTATTTAGCATTTGGCAGCAACTTTTTTCAACTGTTGTTGCTGCTGTTGTCATTTGCTGCTCATTGGAGTTAAGGCACAATTCTGGTAGCTGCTTAGCCGGTTAGGTTATCAATTAAAAATAATAACAGCATTTGTTATAAATATATTTATTCGGTTTGCAACGAGACAATTGCATAAACCCATAAATTTGCTCCAATTAAATGTTTTATTTGTATTGAATTAGTAGTGGATGTGAATATAAATTTTCTTTTTTTTTAGTTTGTTTATGAGCGGGCGGCGCTTATGGCATGGTGGGGGAGGGGGACGGCGAGTTGGTGGTACATGTGATTGTTTACTGTTCGTGTTGTTCCTTGTTGTGTTGTGTCATGTTAATGCTGTGTGGGTTTCTTGTTGGCAAGCCATGAGAGTTGAATGCACTGGATGAGGATGCAACACACACACACACACACACACACACTAAATGCTGGCGATACACAAGCGAGGCACATGAAAAGCTCAAATCACAAAATCTGCCCTAAAGCGCTGAATGTATTGTCCAGCCAAAATATTGGTCAGGCGGTCAGTCAGATATTTAGACAGTCAGTCAGAGATCGTCCTAGTTAAGTGCCGGCCAAGCCTTATGCACATTGTGTAAGCTTTTGCTTGAGCTTTCACACGTACGCAAAAATGAGCTGCGAAAGCTTTTCGCAAGCAATATTTATCGTTGTGTGTGTGATTTTCATAGGTTAAATATTCGTCTTGGTCAGAGTGTCAAAATGTTAATAAAAGTTTGCGTTTTTGGCAGTTGACATGTTAAGCTTAAGCCGCGACAGTCTCAGATTAGACAGTGCGTATACTAGAAACATTTAGATACACAGAGATAGAGAGAGAGAGAGAGAGAGAGAGAGAGAGATAGAGAGAGAGAGAGAGAGATTAAAGAAACGCACAAAAACGAAACAGTTGGAGATATTTACACATTATTTGTTCGCTGCGTTTTGCATTAAGTACAAAGATGAATTTTAATGGTATTTAATGAAAGTATGACAAAGCTTACCATGATGATTATGATTATTGTTATTATTTTCAATTTCAACCTCAATTCCAGAACAAACTGACTCACCTAAAACGAAACAGAAATAAATACATTTATACATTAGATACATTAGATGGGCAAAAAACCAAAAAAAAAAATTAAAATACAATTACATCAATTACATAATTCGACAAAGGCAAAGATAGTAGCAAGCAACTAGCTGACGTCACGGGTGTACATATGTGTGTGTGTGTGTGTGTCTGTGTGTGTGTATGTCAGACATAGTAGAGCAATTGTGGAGATATGTTGATATATAGATAGATAGATAGTTTGATAAGTGTGTATGTACATGGAATGATTTGCCTTCATTTCTATGCAGCCTTTGCCGCGCAGAACGACGCCGAGGCAAGTAAACAAACAAATTTCAATTAATAAAATGTGTCAAGCGGAGACGCGCCATTACACAGAAAAATAAAAAAAAAAAAAAAAACATTGTCGACCAAAGCAAAACAAAAGAAACAAAAATAGAGAAGAAAAAAAATGGAAGCAAGCAGCGCAAAATGACAAATGCATTGCACCTGACTGCTTGCTGCACTGCTTGCTCGCTTGACTGCTTGCCTGCTTGCTCTCGCTCGAGCAGCAAACACATACCCCCGTCCCCTGCCCACCTACACTACTACTGCTGTCCCACACAGATGAGCGACTTGACGACTGCTCGCATTCGCTGACTGTTTTAATTTTAGCCGACACGCCCAGTCCACCCCACCGCCCCACCGCCCCGCCCCCACCGCCCCGCCCCCCTCGCCCACGCTCCCACTACCATACCACATGTCGTTTGTGTAAAATTGAAATCTGTGTCGTCGCCATGTTATTGCCACTCAGAGAACCAAGTGTCCTTCAAAACTATTTCTCTCTAATTAGATACAAGCGGTGAAATGAGGTGCACATCTGTCAGCATTGCTGCTATTCACTCAGAGCCCTCGACTTGAGAATGTCGCATGCCACAAATACACATGCTTACAACCACCAACTGACCTCACTCTACGACTGTCGCATGTGGCATACTAGTTTTTTTTAGCGTTTTTTTTTTTTTTTGGTTTTTGGGCAGCAGTTTAAAGACTTAAAGGGCCAAAATATGACTTACAGGCATTGGCCCAAAAAAGCAACGTCGCCGCCAGCCACATTGGTTTTTATGGGCCACAAAGGAGACCAGAACAACACTGTGCTTGCTGCTGCTGTTAAAGCTGAGCAGCAGCTTGAATTATGTCGTTGTCATAAATAACGCTGGAAACATTTAAGCGCCCCACAAAGACGCTGCGTGGTGTGGCGCGGCGTGGCAAACTAATTTCATATGCAACAGCAACATGGCCCCTTGTAAACTAGGCCAACTCCAACAAACTTCGCCAATTTTTTTGTTTCTTTTTTTTTTTTTTTTGGCTTTTCCATGGAGCAATCTGCAGCACGCAAATGCAGCAAGTAGCACGTATGCGTAATGTGGCATTTAAAATCGATTTAAAATACTATAATAATTAATGAGCGGTGTGTTTGTGTGTGTGTGTGTTTGTGTTGTATGTTTGACAATGTGTGAATATTATTTCATTTTACAGCAAACTCTTTTAATTTTCCCTTTTTGGTTTTTTGGTTTTCTTTCTTTTTTTCTTCATTTTTTATTAGCTGGATGCATTTGGCTGTATTTTTTTTCTGTTGGTGGCAGCATTTAATTTGATATTTATTTGATTATGAGACGACGGCAGCTGCAGATGTTGAGATGGTGACGTGGTGATTGATTGATTGATTGATTGATTGATGTTATTGTAGTTCTTGGTTTTTGTTCTCACTGTTGTTCGTGGAAGCAATTGACAGAAGATAGAGAGCAAATTCTACACATATATGCATTTAAATATATATCTTTGTATACATATATAAATATATATAAAGATTGACAGAGAGAGAGGGCGATAGCAAGTGTTTTTTTTTTTTTTTTTTGGTGAGTTTGTAGATGGTGTGTGTTTAATACTTAGAAGAAGTTGTGCGCATCTTTTTATTGGTAGTTTTCTGAATTTGATTGCGTGTTTTGATCAAACTCACCGTAGCACCAACAGGAGGCAGTCTTATAGCTGGATGTTGCTGCCGTTGCCGTTGCTGTTGCTGTTGCCAATGCTGTTGCGGTTGCAGTTGTCTCATTGCTACCCATCTGTTGCTGTTGCTGTTGCTGCTGATGCATATGTTGCTGCTGTTGTACTGCTGCTGATGCTGATGCTGCTGCGCTGCCCGCTGCAATTGGCGGTGTGATGGCGTTATCGGGCGAGCCATTTAGACTGATTGGCTGCTGCTGTTGTTGTTGTTGCTGTTGCTGTTGCAGTTCCATCTGATGATAATGATGTTGATGTTGTTGTTGAGTATTGCTTAGATTAGGATAGCTGTTGATAGCTAGTTGCTGCTGCAGCTGCTTCTGCTGTTGCTTATAGCTAAGGACGGCTAATGAGTATGCCACATTGTGATTGGAACTATTATTAGCGTTGCTGGTGCTGCTGCTGCCGTTGCTGCTGTTGCTGTTGCTGCTGCTGCTGCTACCGCTGGTCAGCGAATGTATTGATGAGGGCGATGTTGCTGCTTTAATTGTTGTCTTAGAATGTTGTTGTTGTTGTTGTTGTGGCTGATGCTGATTGTTAAAATCTAATTGCGTCATGTGTGTGGTGGGCGTTGTTGAATTCTGATATTGGTATGCATAATGTTGCTGTTGCTGTTGCTGTTGCTGGTCCCGTTGTTGTTGCAGCTGCTGCTGCAGTTGCTGTTGCAAAGCTGCTGCATATAATTCAGTGTCCATCTGGGCGCCCGGATCCATCACCCCACTCATAATACTTTCCATATTTTTATATTTGTCTCGATACTGCTGTGTTGAAATGTTTGAGTTCAGTCTTTTAATTTGTTTGTTTGCGACGGAATTGATTTGCTTATTAGCTTTTATTGAATTTACGCTGCTTTTCAATATACTCGTATATATTTTGTTTTTATATTGCTGTTGATTGTTGTATGTGTTTTTATATTTGTGATAAGTTTTGCTACTGTTGCTCTACTCTACGCGTTTCCAATTCAAAAACTTCCACAATAAACGAAAAGAAAAAAGAAATAGAAATTGTTTTCAATTAAGCTCAGTTTTTAAAAGTTTGCAATTTCGCTTACAATTTCGTTACATGGAACACACAAAAAGGAATCATTTTTCTCGAGCAGCATTTACACGAACCGTAAACGACAGAGGGAGAGGGACAGAGAGAGAGAGAGAGTGTGTGTGTGTGAAAGAGAGGGAAACTTTTTAAAAGAAAAGCTGTCAGAAAAATTTGTACATTTTGAATATTGTGTTTCTTCCACTCTCGATTTGTCGGTCGTGTAAAGGCAGCTCTTAAAATGTAATTCCTGTATGATTTGCTTTTGGACTCAGTCTCTGAATAAAGATGATGATGCAGGTGGCAGGTGTGTAGTAGTCTTAAATACAGATCATAGTTGGGTTATAGAGTGGTAGCGTCATTTTTGGTTTAGTGTAGATTGCGGTGTTTGAGTTGAGATTGAGTTTGAGTTGATTTGATTTGATTTGAGTTGATTTTGAGTTGATTTTGGGTCGATTTGGTGTTGGTTTGGATTGCATTGGTTTGATTCGAAAGCAGCGCGCTGGATGGACATTATTGAAGAAGTAGTAGTAGTAGTTGTTGTAGTAGTAGTAATAGTAGTAGTAGTAGTAGTAAGACGTTTAATTATATCGAATGACGTTGCTGACATGTGGTGTTCTTGGATGGCAATCAGAGGATGGAGTTCATTGTATTGGTGCTTGGCGGTATGTGACGTATCGGCAGTGGGCGTGGCATTTATATATATATGTATAAATATATATATTGTTTTTTTTTTTAGTGTATATTTAGCAATATCGGCGCATTGTTAAATGATATCAGTTCGGTAGACAACAACGGCCACAACATCAACAACAATAATAATAACATGAACAACGACAACAAATTGAGAGTCAGAGAGTAGGAAAAATCAAAGTATATATATATATATATGCAGTTACATAAAGTGAATCGGGATATATAGGCAGACTTATTGAGATAAACGCCTGAAGTTGCATATATCGAGTTATGAAGCGGCGGCAACAGCAGCAGCAGCAGATGCGGCAGCAACATCGAGTGTTTGATTGATTGGTTGATTGGTCGATTGATTGATATTGACTGATATTGAGGTTGCACGATGGATTTGCCGTCAAGCATATTGACGACTGATGACTGATACTGTTTCGGCATTATATATATATATAAATATGTATATATATTATATAGAGTAGCAACTGTTGACTGATGAGATGTTGTTGTTTTTGTTATCAACTACATTCGTTGGTCATTTCTTCGCTGGATGCTCGTTTGATTCATGATTAGAATAATATTAGGGAGTATTAAGTAGTAGTAGTATGTGGCATGTTTTTGGCATTTGCGAGTTTTTCAATCTGTGCTATATAGATAGTATATGTCCATATATAATATATATGTATATATATATATATATAGAGTATATAAGATAGTAGTTAATGACGAGAGTTACACAACATCCAAGTATGGAATGGAAGGTAATGGTCTTATACATTTAGAATAGTACGATTACAATGCCAAAATTGTTACCATTCAGCAGTTGAGTTGATTTCTCTTCGGTTCCACTCCTTCCACTCCTTCACTCCACTCCACTCTGCGCGTGTGTGTGTGTGTGTGTGTTTGGTTCGGTTCAGTTCAGTTCAGATTAGTTCAATTCAGATCAGCTGCGACTTGAGTGCTCTGTGATAGAAGTTCCAGTTGCTGGTTCAAGTTCTGTGATGGTATGACGGTTCATTTGTGGAACTGCTTCTCTGATTGGGATTTTTTTCTTTTGTCACTTATTGATTTGTTGATATTAAAAATACGCTTTATATTCTTTAATTGCAGTTTTTTATCACAACATCAGTGTTTCTTTTGATTTTATTTATCACATTTGTGTTGAATTAGAGTTTTTCATTGGTTTTGCGGAAATGCTGCTGGTTATACGAGTATAATTAATTTATATTGTAACTCATTACTAACAATTAAACGCAGTGTTGGCACAACAACAACAACAACAAATATGTGTGTGTCGTCGAGGAATTTTATTTATTATATATTTATTTATTTCAGTTATAGTTATAAGTTTTCTTTTTTTTGATATTTTTAGTTGTTTGTTGTTTTGTGTATAAATTCTATAGACATAGTTCCGCTCTGTATTTCTTTTTTTTTTTAATAATTACAAGCACATTTATATGAATAAAAATGAATTAAAACTAGCAAAATAAAAATAAATGATAATATAGATGTATTGTAATATGTATGTATATGTGTTCAGAATTACTTGAAATGATGAAAATGATTTTCTGATGACCCAATAACAACAGCAGGCTAGGCAAATGGATTTTGACTCGAAGGTTAGTGGATTGATTACAAATGGTTCGAGTCGGAGGCATAGCAATGATGTAACTTCGATGCCATTTCAAAGTCTCTATCAGCTAACTAGTTGCATTTATAAATACAACGGTAAGCCATTAATTGGAGCAGCTAATTGCCAAATAATTATCAGATTAGTATCGAGATACATGCGAAACGAACTCAGCTGTAAGCTGCAAGTTCTGAGCCGCAACCTTGACACATTTGGAGTTTGGCCAATTACAAACTCCAATTGGTGTGACCGGGAAATGCGGAATCGCTTGAATAATCGTAATTACATACATAACTATAAAAAAAAAAATAAAAAAATCAGCCCAAAGTGATTAAAATTACCGCTGATAAATTTAATAGCCAGCAACTTGCAGTGAAATGCAAAAAAAGATCATAAATTATAATAATAACACTGATTTAGAAATCATACATATTTCTCCTATTGTTATATAACGTACTAAATTAAACAAAAACTAAAAAAAAAAAAGCACCAAACTCGTTTATACATTTGAATATGAGTTCATATTCGAAAACACACAAGGCAAACTGCAGGGTGGGTGTAAACAACAGCAATAACAACAACAACAATGGCAACTATATTATGTGTGAGATCATCTGCCAGCCCTTCTGGCGTTTCCGTAATGACCACAATTGATTTATCGTGTAGAAGTCACAAAATTTTGATTAGCCACTCCGAAAAAATGTGGAAAATAAATAAACAAACTGAACTAAGCAACAATAATACAATGAATACACTCAGAAAAAATATCACTCTAAAATGTGATTTTCTACATTACACGCGTAACTTTAATTTTTACAAAATTCTTAGAATTAGAAAGTGTTATTTGAAATGAAAAGAATATTTAAGAAAATACAATTTCTTCAAATTAGAAAAGCATGTTTCGACTTCTGTGAAATTCCTTAATAATAGAAAGTAAATAGTAGAAATGCAAAGCATTAGTTTTATAACAAATTCTTCCTAAAATTCAGAAAATAGTAATCAAATTTGCTCGCTCGACTGTTATATTGGTGCACATCTGTTGTCTACTTTAAATCGTATGTTTTCTCAAATTGTATTAAAGAAACTTGTAAGCTAATTATCCATCTATCTTATTATACTAATGTTTAATAGTAATATAAGGAGAAAAAAAATTTAATGTACACTTATAAAAATTAACTTGGAAATTAGGCATATCTGGTCTACATTTTAGAAAAACCTACACAGAGAGAATGGAAAAACAATAGAAAGACGACACCATACGTCTTTCAAATAGACTCTCTGAATAATAAGGTGAGTTACTATCGACCATTTGCTAAAATTAAGGTCGATTTTTTAAGCGTGTAGAAGAAACAACATGTAAGCCCCCCAAATGCTGGCTGAATACTCAGACACCTGCCAGCATTGCCAAACAGCAGAAATTAACAACTGGTTGCCAACAGCCATCCACATTGGTAGCTGCTGCTGCTGCCGTTGCTGCTCAGATTACACAATGAATGAAAAAAATAAAAAATAAACTGAGTTGGGAGTGGAGTAGGGATCTCTCGGATTGAACTGGGCTTTGAGCTCTCTACCTCATTTCTAGCACGCATAAATTATTTTCAAACCGTTGCGTTAAAGGTGTTTTGCATAGCCAACTGGCCAAGTGAGCAAAAGCCAAAAGAAGAAAAAGGTAAACCCCTCCACTGATGAATGGAGTGGCAGCGCTGATTCTCCGAGTGTCTAAATGTATTTTTGGGATTTTTCATTCACACACACACACACTCACTTAAATCCACACACACACTTATGGAAGTACATGTTGCCCACACTGAAATACATTTCAAGGTTATGTTTTCATGTCGTTTGTTTCCCGTTTGCTTTAGAGTCAATGTCATGCCAGCTTTAAGTACCTCAACCAGTTAGCTACCCACACATTACACACACACACACACGCACACACACACACACACGCACACACACACACACACGCACACACACAAGCACTCATCTTTCACTTATTATTTTGGCATTATTTCTGGGCTTATTTTGCACATCAAAGAAAAGCTATTAAAGCGGCAAGCGTGTCTCTTGAATTCTGTAGAATGTATTAAAATTAGAAGCTGCTGCTTGAAATTGTCGACTCCAATTCCAATTCCGATGCTGATTTTGTGTCAATGTCGATAATAATGTCTTGTTATTTATTTATTATTATTTTTTTTTTACATATTATGTAGCAGCTGACATTGAGCTAAATTTGAGGCTTGATGATTGCAACAACAGCAACAAATACAAATCGGGTCTTTTTGTAAGCAAATGTATATATTTCAAATACTCGTTTGACGTGTCGATGTATTTCGAATTGTGGCCACAATAATCACGTACCGAATGTGAGCGATGTGTTAGAAGTGTTTTAGTGTTTGCTAGGGCTCAAACCTAATGACAACTTTCAAATGAAAATGCGACCTTGACACGACGCAACTATGTAATTCGATTGCCAAGTTGCGCATACGCAGCGTGGCACCACATACAAAATACATAATAACTATGTAGATAAATACATATATTTGAACGGCGAATGACGACTCCGTCGCTCATGTGATTATGATCTTAATGAGTAACACAAATACATTCTAAGACAGCCTGACTAGGCAAAGGCAAAGGCAAACACACCAAATTAGATAAACAATATTAGTTTAGTGGCCAGGCCGGGCCGGGATGTTGTCATTGCCATTGGACAAATTGCAGCAATGATGCTAATTAACAAGGTCATTGAATATAATCTTTTTTCTTTTTTGCTATAGTATACATATCGAATGTGGTTCGGTGTGGTTATCTATGTGTGTGTGTATGACTTATAAAACTGCACTTGAAAAACACATACTACAAAAGCTCTGCTGAAATTGAAGCGTCGGAGGCGTCAGTTGCTGATGCTGCTGCTGCTGTTGCTGCTGCTGCTGCTGGTGTTGAAGCGAAAGCGGCGGTGGTTGTTGCGTTCTGGCAAACAACATGCTGGTCTTTATTTGGAAGCCAACTCAATTGTACTATGCGATAGTAGAGTACTAACAAAATGGCAGAAGGCAGTAGGCAAAAAAATGACGAGGAGCAGCGAGCGCACGAAATGAACGACGATCGGCAACGGCGCGCACTGAAACCGCACTGAGGAATTTTGTCAGTTCGTGGCATACAAGCAAAAACGGCGCTGGAGACGGAGACAGAGCTACCACTGCGACAGAGGCAGAGGCAGAGACAGAGACAGAGACAGAGAGCGTGTAAGCGAGCCCAAAACGCAGAGTTCAAATGAGAAAGAGGGAAAGAGAGAGAGAGAGAAGGAGAGAGAGCATGCCAGATCCGAAAATCGGAGAGCGAAGAGAGCTTGATCCAAATGAGTCAGTCATTTGGCAAACATCATACAGCGTCTATGAGATTACACACATGAGTGTGTGCGTGTGTGTGCGAGTGTGTGCGAGTGTGTGTGAGTGTGTATATCTGTGTAAGTGTGTGCGTGAGTGAAGAGCGTGTGCTTATGATCTAATGGGCGAGTTTTGACGTTGCCTCACTCCAAAAATGTGTTGTTTAGTTTTTTTTTCTTTTTTTTCTTAGTTATCAGCAGCCAGCGCTGAGTGAAGACGCTGGTGCGGGGGGAGTTGACTGACTAAAATAGAAAATGTTGTGGCAATATACAAACATTCAAACCTATATGTTTTTTAAGAAATGAGCAGATAAGCCAAAGCGAGACAGCGAGAGAGAGAGAGAGGGAGAGAGAGAGGGAGCGAGAGAGAGGGAGATAGAGTAAGGCAACGTGTCAAGTTTGTCGAGCAGGCAGCAAAACTTCATCAGAAGTTCGAATGATATTCGATGAAGATGACACAACACGCCCCCATATATAACCAAACACCACATAGACACACACACACAGTCAATCTGCCCTACAACGAACACACAAACATGTCCATAAACTTTGCCTTGGCAAACATTTCTTGATGATTGGCAATCGCTTTTTCTTATCCAATATACTCATTTCAAATCTGTTTTTCAACACCAACTCACAATTTAAAGAGTGTATTCAGCTCATTCAGCTTGTTATATAATCATTTTCATATATATTGACATATATTGAACGCCTTCTAATTGCTTAACTGTTATCTGTATGACTAAGGGCAAATTCATTTTCGCCTTTGCAATCGCATTCCGAATGTCTCCACTCCAAATTCTAATTCAGACAAAAGCACATTGTCTTCTTAAACAAGAAATAGCTGAGCAGAAATGATTAATTGCTGATCGATTGCACGAAATTTGTCGGTGTGAATAAATGCTTATAAATAGCTGGCAGCTGTACTCGTTGCGTATACGTAATTTATTAATGCGGCATACCGCAAATTGCTCATGCGTCTAGTGGCATATATGTATTTGCGTATGTTGTTCAAAAAAAAAAAAAAGAAAGAAAAAATGTACAACAACGTTCTCAAGTGCATGTTGGATGCAACAAAGTGACCCAAATTCAGACTTCAGCTGCTGCAACATCACACAAAAGCTGAAAACGAAAGCCAAGCCTGGGGGGCAGCTATCGATAAGCTCGTGCTCGGTTGTATTTGAGGGCAACGTAATAGGCGGAAACTGCCTAGACAGAAGGGAAAAACTAGAAAAAAGTAAACCAAACTAAGAAGCACACTCGCACCTAACTAACCAACATTGGCACTCGAGCTATTAGTAGGCCACTTGAGATGCTTTACAAGTGCAGCAGCGGCAGCAGCAGCAGCAGTAGCAGCAGCAGCTGCAGCAGTGACACGGGCAACAGCGACGACAACACTTCAGCAAACAACAAAAGAATATGCCAAGAATAAGGTAACCCAAAAAGATATCCAGAGAGAGCGACAGAGATAGACACAGTGAGAGAGAGAGAGAGAGAGAGATGGAGAGAGAGAGAGAGAGATGGAGAGAGAGAGAGATGGAGAGAGAGAGAGAAGAACCCGCTGGCCACAAACGCACTTGAGTTTAACACGCGAACAGGCGACACAGCATCACAGTTTTGTGTCTGCACAAGTGGCCAAGGTGTAACCCATTTTCAGTGCAAGTGTTACATGTGTGTGTGTGCAAGTGTGTGTGTGTGTGTGTGTGTGTGTTCGCTCAAGGACGTTGTGGAAACATGGCAGTGGCTGTGGCTGTTGCTGCTGCTGCGGCTATGGCTGCAATGGCGCCCCATAACAGCAGTGCAGTTGATGCAGCTGCTGCTGCTGCTGCTGGCACTTCTGCACGTCTAGTGCGCAGGACCTTGTCTAGGCATTGGCTACACACACACACACACACACACACACTCGCGCATTCGCACTTAGAGTATTACCAATGACTAAGTAGGTCAACAGCGTTGCTAACGCAGCAGCAGCAGCTGCCCAAGCGCTCTCTCTCTCTCTCTCTCTCACATCTCTCTCTCTCTGACTTTATCTCTCTTGTTTGTGTGCTCTTGGCGCGCATCTATTTTCAAGCTAGCTCTATCAGCATTGATTGCGTAACACAACAACACATGTTGACTGCCCGCCCGACCTCTACCCCTCATGCCCTGAATTGTTTCCTTGTGGCTTTACTGCATTTCCTTGCAGCCTGACTCGACTGACGCACATCCCTTCCAACCCCGCCGCCCTCCCATGGCTCCTCTCCAGTGGCATCTGCACAATCCTCTATTACTACCGCAAGCACAGCATCCACAGCAGATATCGCACTCCTTTTTAAAGTAGCTTTAAAGTGGTTTTGTGGCCTAACCGACACTGAATCTAGGCACTTATTGTCTAGCTACTGCAGCAAGTGACAATAAACGACGAGCCACGAAATAAATATTAATAAACGAATGGCTGTCAAGACAGCTAAACAAATAAATTGTTTGAAAACTAATAAACAACTTGCTTGTCTATGTGTGTGTGCATGTGTGTGTGTGTGTGAGAGAGAGAGAGAGAGAACTTCTAAATTTTCAAACACATATGACACATGTCAACATGGACCTGTTCTACGACCAGCAATGCGACAACAATGACGAGAGCAACAAAAATAAAAATATACACACACATGTACACAAACATTTGAATGGTAGTTAATTAACAACAATGCCATTAACAACAACATCCAAAGGTACTTTGTATTCCGAGGGTAACTCAAAAACATCAATGACTTTCAAATAAATATAAAAAGTTCCAGGGAAAGATTAAAATGCCCTAAATACTAGAAATAATATCCAAATATATGAACAAATATTTGTCGACTTTTCAGATATATATTTCGAAATAATAGAAAAGATTTCTACATTTTCTAAAGTTATCATATTTTGGCTGAAATCATTAGCATTTACAGTTTTGGTTGAAGATGTTGTGAAGTATAATTCTTAAATTTTCAAGAACGGATATTTAGCTCAATTAATCTTTTTTATTTTTTTTAATATTTGTATTACGTATTATTTCTTTATTAAATGATATGTTGAGCAGCTTAAAAAAATATTCTGAAAAATTAACTAAATGCCACAGTAACGATTTTCAATCATAACACATTAATTTTTGACAAATATGTACTCGTGTTTTTAACTGTAGTCCAGCTGAGATAATTTTAGTGCTTTAAGACTTTCAAATTGTTATGTTTTTTTTGACCGACATTTGGTTTAATTGTCCGTTAAAAGCTTGGACCTTTGACATGCAAAGCAAATAGATAACTTGGCATTACTTGTTGACCAGATTTCAGAGTTATGACAGGCATTAAAATGACGTTCAGTCTGCCAGTCTGTCAGTCTGTCTGTTTGGCAGTTGGTCAGTTGCTTAGCACGCTTCTGCGCACAATTAACAAATTCCAATTCAAAGACACAATAACAAAACGTGTTTTTACACACATTGTGAATCCAGTGGAACTAAAAATTGTTCTCCAACTAAAAGTCAAATGCTAAGCAGGCATTCCGGACAGCAGCGGGGGCGGGTCGCGAACAAAAACAAAATCGAAAACACTAAACACGAACACGAAAACACAAAACCGCCTCTAAGATTTACAGTCTTTGCTATTTTTATGTCTGTGGCGCGACAGCAACAGCAACCACTACAACAACAACAACAACAACGACGACAAAAACGATGATGCGATGCGAGGACAGGTAGAGTTGGATTGCGTCGCGGCTCACCTTGAAGTCTGCCAGCAAGTTGGTTGGCAGTCGAGCGAGCAATCAAGCAAAGCAGCCCAAAGCAGATAAAGCAGCCACTCAATAGCTGCTGATCTGACTGGCTTCACTCCCCACAAATTGAATACGCTTTGAATATAATATTAATAATAATAATAATAAAAATAATAAGTATAAGCAGCTCTGTAGCATCATTTTAATCTCAGCCACTTAGCATTTGAATGGAGCGGACTTTGGCGACCTACTGCGCTAACCCATTGTAGCCTTAGCATTCATAATGCACTCAACTCGGTGAGTTATAACGTCATGCCAAAGAGGTCACTCAGTGAGCAAGTGCACTCGGAAAAAAATTCCAATTTCAATTAAGTAACATTAATTTCTATTCTTTTAGACTCAAGTTCATCCGCCAAAGAACACGTAACGTCTTCAATTAAGAAGGGCTCACCAATGTAAGTGTTCTACCTTTCAGCAATATTTGAAATTTTTTAAATGTATATTTAATGTTTTTAAAATCGTATGCTGTTTCAAAATTAAATTAAAAACATTCATAAACTATACTAAATATATAAATATGTGGAATTGTAAAATTAATTAATTTAAGAAATACATAAATCTCAATATTTATCGTAAATAATTTAAAGCTAGAGACTTGAAATTTTGCACAAATATTTCTAAAACTAAATTAGAATTTTGCATATATTTTTTACATTTTTTTACACGTTTTCTCCCTACCCTACCAACTCTGAATCAGCTAACTTTGATCGTGCGACAAAATTATTTCAATCTCATGAGTATTATGATTTAGAAAATATAAGCAATTTCAAAATATTGAACAAATAAAATTGCATATATGCCAAAATGTTCATATTGTAGAAATTACGTTTCTGAATATTCCCCTTTGTATGTAAATTTTGTAAAATTCAGGACACTTTATTTTTGTGAGTGCACAAATATGGGTCAAGCCTAAGAGTCCAGTGAGCCTGCGGCTGTCAAATGCCGCTATGTGTGTCATCCTTTCTGATTAGGCCACTAGGGCGTATGCGCAATCTGTTCAATCAATGCCATTTGCACTTAATTACAAGACCGGTTCGAGGTTTGTCAAATGCAAATCCGAAATTGAGAGCGGGCATGCTTTGTGAACTGGTCAATTAAAAGATGACAATGGCAAAATGGCAAATAACTTATTGAAATCAAGAGAGAGAGAGACTGGCAGCAATGCAAATATGCTTATGGATGTGGCGCATTTTGGGATATTGGCATGAGATACAAAATATTTACACAAATCGCAGCGATTTTTTCTTATTCAAAAAGGGTGAGAGACTCGGCAGTGAATGGACAGATAGATAGATAGATAGATAGATAGACAGATAGATAGGTAGAGAGAGAGAGATAGAGAGAGCACGATAATGATAGTAGTATATGTAAAAGCGATTGAAATTTGCTCATTGCTCATTATGTGGTACTTATTTGGTTCAAATGATTGGATTTGATTTGCAAAACTTACCGGAACTGAAATGTGAGCGTTTTGTTTGTTCATTTTCCGGATCGGAATCGAGCGGCCTTTTGCGAGAGTCGCCCATCTCAGGACTTGGACATGTCTCCATGGCAGCGTCTTCGGCCATTTTTAAGTGAATGTTGCTGGCTTTTTTATTAGTTTTTGTGTTCGACTTTAACTGATGATTGCTTTAGTATTTGCTTTTGGTTTCCGTTTCTTAATTTCTTTTGTGTGTGCTTTTTTTTTTTTTAGTTTAAAGTTGCTTAGATTGTGTCGGCTCTGTTAACAAAAGTCTCGTTGTTATTTCTTCTTTCTTTTTGGCAAATGAGGTTCTCGGTTCTTGTCAGCGCTTCTTCTTAGAGCGAACGATCGATCAAGCAAACGCAGATGCTTCTCTATATCTTATCTTCGCATCTGGAAATCGAGCAGCTATTTGGATGGCTGCCCACTTTCTTGCTGTGTGGGAATCCTTTAGCTCGTTATTAGATCGTTATTCACACAGACGCACATATACATATACACACACACGCTTACAAGCTGAGCTAATATGCATATGCGGTCGGGCGATTTGAATATTGCGAGCTTTCAAACTTTTAGTCAAGCCTCTAAATATAATCTAAGTAAAAGGTGATCGTGTTGTCCTTCTAGAATTGTTTTCGATTTTATGTTGTTATTTTTTTATTGCGTGACGATTTTGTATTATTATTGGTTTTTTTTTTTTTTGTGGTGGTGGAATGTGCGAGTTGTATTTTTTTTTTTTTTTGGTAAACGTTTATATGAAAAAAGAAAAAAGAAAAAAATATTTATGAGTGAATTATGCAGCAATAATAAATATACATACATACAGTAAACATTAAGGCATCATATGTAAAACGTATAACACATATATCAACATTTTGCAAAAATGCACTTCTCAAATAGTCAGATAATACACACATGTGATTCTAGAGTTTATAGATTTAAGAGTTAAGAGTCAAGAGTTAAATAACATTTACAATTAGATTAACACAAAAACACTTTTCATAAATGTGTACATATACACAGTGAGCGCCATTTAGCTTGGAATATGCTTGGTTTAAAGCGGAGCATTCAATTTAAAAGGCAGTGTGGACGGGCGCGGGGGGGAGGGGCATGAGGTACTGGAGGGGTCAGGCAGGCAAATGTGAAATATGCAACAAGACACAACATTAAGTTTTTTTTTTTTTTTTTGTAGCTAGAAATAAGCATGAAAATGTCAATGTTTGTGTATATAGATGTGTGTTTATATCGTGTTTATAATATATGTGATAAGAAGCAGACGACAACAAAATGAGTCACTGGCAAGTGAGAAAATTGTGAAAAGTATCAGAAAACAGCCATAGAAATGCCAGCAGTAATTGACATTGCATGGATACACTCGACAGATTTGTTAAAAAAGAGATTTTTTAGATGAGATATCATATATTAATACAATATGTTCGATACAATGTCATCAAAGTTCCCACAGTTCCCAAAGTTCCCAATTGTCTATATAAACAGTAAAATATTAACAAAATTTAATATATTTAATTAGTTGCTCAAGGTTGATAAATTTTGAATGACATCATCATCAAAATCTATAGTCTATCTTTCTTTAAAATATATTTTTATAGTTCCAACTCCACACAGCTCTAAATACAATGTTTAAAATCGAATTTAGAATATTTGAAAAAAAAAACCTTTTCAACCGTAAACCTATTTTCATTTATAAATACTACAAATCATTTGTTGTGGATAGGATAAAATATATTTTGTCAAATTTTTATCACGCCAATGCACATTTATCCAAATATAACATTAGAGATGATTGTGATATAAGCAAAAACTAATACAGCTTCCAAAATTTATACTTTGCACTAATCACCAATCAATTAATTAGTCAGCGCAACCATTTTCTTATTATTCTATATTTAAAAATAGTATATTGTTTGAAAAATACATATTTAAGACTTTGTTAGAAAAATGATGTCACGAGAACACGAAAATAGTAATAAATATTGATTTGTTATTTTTTTTATACTATATTTCACTAAAACTGACTGTTATATGTACACTCAGAAAAAACGTTCTCAATTTACTAAATAGCTCTTAAATCACAATCGTTCCGAAAACGATAAAAACTTTCTGATTAATAAATCTACAACAAGTATAAATTCACTTTCGAGTGCTATTTTAGAGTTATACTGTTTTCTGCGTTAGATCGGAAGTTTCTTCAAATTAAATTATATAAATTTATAAACTATCTATAATTTTTGTATGTGTGACATCTTAAAGTACTAATAATTTATTTATTAATATAAGTAACGAAAAATCAAATTTTAGAGAACTGAAGTGTACACATAAAAAAACATGGAAAATTAGGTATATTTTTTTTTTAAATTTTAGAACAATTTTCCAAATAAAAAGCCTGGTTCTGCGAAAAACACAAGCTTCTGTTATACTTTCTGAATAATAAAGTGAGTTAAACATGGCAATTTTCTAGAGCGACTTTTTTCTGAGTGTACTTATGCACACAAGCTTTAAATACATATTAAATACACACATCGATATTAGTACAAATATGTACGAAGATGTATGTCATAATGTCATGAATACAACAGAAAAAGCCATGGCCCGTAGACCATAAGCCGCCCAATGACTGACTGACTTATCTTGTGTGATAGTTGTGCAAGCTGACGTTGTTATTAATTCAATGCACGCGGCAATGAAAATAATAACTTGCAACTCGATTATGCATGAGTTGGCTTTTATGATTTCATTGGTAATTAAATATGCGCCAAGACAGAGCAGCAACACCAACAATAACAACAACAACAGCCCCAAGCAATGAGCGACGCGCATTTATTTATTTAAAATGGCATTTAATTATACAAATATTTTGATCGTGTTGTTGTTGTTGTTGTTGTTGCCGTTGCTTCTATTGCTGCGGGCATACATTTTACATGTGTGTTTGTGTTTGATTTGACTGCAAACGACCTTGACCATTAAATAAATTTCTGCCACTGCAAAGCAAAATGAGCAATAAATCGACGAGATGGCAACGCCATAAAATAACAGCAACAATACCACAACAACAGCAAAGCACAGTGGAAGCAATAACAGCTACAACAAGGTGCACAGGGTACACATTTCTGTATGCAAACAGAGCGAAAGAAATCTACACAACACCAAATTCATACAACTTATTTTTATATAGATATTTTTTTGCTGGTCTTTTTTGCTTTTGTGCTTCGTTTGTTTTTGTTTTTGTGTGTGCTTATGTGTGTGTGTGTGTGTGTGTTTTTTTATTTTTTATTTTTTATGGAACCTGTCACGACAGCAAAAAACAGAGTCGCACACAATTTGCATTCACTTAGGAAATTAGTAATCAACGAAAGCAAAAACTAGTGAACAATTTTAAGCAGCAGATGTCTCGAAACGAGTTCCGACTAGCTTAGCGTACATCGTATTATTTAAGAATCGATGAGAGTCGAGATTCTTACGGAGAACCTGTTACTTTTGCGCGGTTAGAAAAAAAATCAGGTATTTCAATTAATGAATTTAACGATGTGTTTTTTGTTAAATTCCCCCTTTTTTTTCGAGACGTTTAAAAATGGCGTGAAATTAATCAGAACCAAGTGAAAAAGTTGGCAATGTAAAATCAACTGACATTTTATTTCGGCACCACAGCTGTGCAAAAGCGTGCAACGATGAAAGATATTCAAGCCAAGTGTATGCCACAAGAACACTTGTCCATCCCCACTACTATCCACTTGCCACTGCCACGTTCTGATTCTTGTGCGCATCGTGTCCTTGAAATGTAATTTAAACAATTTAAAATACTGCTTTCAACCTACGAGATACCCTGAACTCAGGTGTTAAATATTGCTCTAGTTTTATTGCCAAATTTCTCATTAAAAAGCTTTGCACACTCAAATGTAGGCAGTGATGGAAGTGCTCGCATTTCTGGTAAGGAGATCAATATCTGAATACGTTTTCGACTATATCTTGGGTGTTTCTTATCCGATCTTGGTGAAATTTGTGCATTTAATCAAAAATATGTCCATTTATATTACCTATTAAATTGAAGCCACTGCCTGTAAGATGATTGCTTTTACTGATATCGATTATCGACATAAATCGAAATTGGCGAAACGAAGCCAGTTATCGATTAAATGAAATAACTTTATCCGTGCGGGATACACGAGATCACATGCTGATAATTTGAAGTTTTAAGCAATTATGATCTTTGAAATCCGATTGTTCATATACACGGACATGGCTATATTGACTTGTTGTTGATGCTGATCAAGAAAATATATAGTGGATGTAAGTGCTTTCTTATTGCACAAGACTATTAGACACTTTATGCCCATTTTAATCGCATAACAACAAAACAATAAATGTCTTGCGAGATTAAACTAGACTGCCAGATACTCTACAAATAAAGCAGTCTGCTGTATATAAGAGATAATAAATAGTTCTGCGGTTGCTCACAGTGACTAGATTATTTTACATATTCTTTAATAGTCTAACCTCTGTCAAGTGCTCACAAAGGTAGCCAAAACAATTTGATAAATTACAAAAAAATGAATCTGTATACGGCTGATTAGAGAGAATGGCTAAGATGTCGTGGGTATATATAGCATATATAATATATATAGATATAATTTCTGTCGTCGTCAGCATCGCTGATGCACTCAAGCCGAAAATGTGTTAATGATGATGAATATGACACAGCTGCTGCTTTGGGGCATTTTACATAATGAAAATGATCGTTTAATCAGAGCGAGGACTTTTGAACGCGGTCACTAATGAACAGCAAATCCAGTAAATTATATTAAGTTGTTATTACATTATTTGAATTATCCCATCGAAATATTAATGAGAATGCAATTTAATAATGCGAGGCAGAAGATGCCAAAACGTGAATGATGAAAAACGGCAATAAATGTGGCAATTATAAAAAGAGCACCTTAGAGAAGCATCGAAAATGCAAATGCCATTATCATATGACCTGAATTAATACAGCTCTCGTGTTTTTATCAACGCAAGGTCAAACAAATCAAATACCGCA